CGGTGGTATTGTGCCTAAATGTTTCAGGAGGTATCGCTCATCCTGTCGTTAGAAGCAACAACACAAATAACAAAGAAAAAAAGTATTTAAAATATCTAAATACAAGTATTCAAGAACACTTTAGTTTTTAGGATATACTTATAGAAACGTCCACATTTCTGTTAACATTATATGTTCATATAACAAATACATACTTCAATGAAGTAAAACCAAAAAGTTTAAACTTTCGTTATATAATTTTCTGTATTGCTTGTTTTTAATTTTTACTTGTGTTATATTTATTAAAATCAAAGAAACGATAGCCATGCATTATAACACATTCCTGCTTAGTGTGGAAGTCCTGTCTCTACTCCAGTACTTTTAATTAAAATTAATAAGCAAGTAAGTGCATCATGCCATAATCTGTAATATTTTTTGTAGTAATATTAATTTTTCTTAACTTACCATATAAACTAAAATAAATTAAACAGTGCATTTTTATTACAGTACGGCGCTGATTTATATAAAAAAATGTTTCAGCCGCATTATAATTCTGCCACTTTTATGAATGAAATGAGAGATAATTCATATAAGATATATTTATAATAAATACATTGAATAAAAATTTATATTTTTGGTTTATTTGAACAATATAGTTCGAAGATTTAAAACTTTTTTTCTTTACTTGAGACTTTATCAAAAGTTAATATGATTCTACACTATTTTCATTAACATAAAGTCTAAATTTCCTCCAAAAACAGGTTTTAAAAATTTAAAAAAAAATACATTTTCCAAAAGCTCTCTAAAGCGGTTTAAATATAAAATAAAAGATTTACAGATAAGCTAATATAAAAAAACTACATGAAAAAGAAATCTCCGAAAATAGGAAACCCTTAAATTGCAGAAAAACGTATTTATTCTCTTTTTCATTTCATGTTTTTTTTTAGTTTTGATAATCTCTGATACATTTTGATTTAAAATATCTATATATTTATTTATTTTTATAACTGATAAAAATAAAAGATTACTCTCTATACTTTTGTAGCTGAATTATTTTTTTATCGTATAAACAGAGAAGCTGAACAAATTAAGCAAAGAAAATAAAGTCCTCCTATTCTCGGTGCTAGCTCATTAAGGGGTAGAAGGCAATGAAAAAGCAAACGATCTAGCTAGAAAGGAAGCGAAAACTCCACTATCTGGACCAGAACCGTTCTGCTTTCCAAGTGGAAACCAACTTAAAGCGGAACTCAAGAACCTGGAAGACTCCATCCGTAACCTGGAATGGAAATCTTCCAACGGTCCAAGACACTCGAAGAAATTTCTCAGAACTTACGACCGAGAAAAATTCTGAGATGGACAGCTGGTGAAGCCGTCTCAGATACTGGCTTTTGTCAAAGCCCTATGAAGGGGGATTAACTCAAGAAAGGGGGACACACAATAAGGTCGCGGTGACCCCCCAAACCTCCCAAGATCTCCCAAACATTCTACATTCTATCTTATAAATTATCGGTGATTTATATAAGGGAAGACAATGAAAAACTCGAATTATATGTCCAAATGAAAAAAAAAAGCGAATGAATCAAAATTAATAAATTGAAAGTTCATAGCTCAGGGCTTCGTTTTTATCCTTTTTGATTACGTTTATAATCGTGTATTAAGCTAGGGCCTGGAAAGTCTTTGTAATACGTTTTTATTTTTTGGGTTGGAGATTTCCAGCTTCCAGCAATATTTGGGGATGGTGTTATATCGTTTTTGCTGCTTGTTTTTGACGTTTATTACGAGAAGCGCGTTGAATCACGGTCCAAAGGTATCAGAGTGTGCGAAATATTTTACATTTTGCCACATTTTACAATTTCGGACCCTTTGTACTTTGATTTCAGTGCGACGCCCACCAAATCGTATATTTTTTGCGTGATTTTTAATTCAATTAAGCTACTTAATAAAGGCTATTTTAATTACTCTAATGATTTTTAGCTGCCCGCTTAATGAGTCTCGTAAATAATGAATCATGACTACTCTGTTTTTTGTACCAACAATTTTCCAAGAGGTCTCATTTCCATTAATTAATATTAAAATTAGGAGGAAAAAAAACGTAATGAAATAAAATCATCTTAAAATATGATATTCTTAAAAGACTTGGTAATATCGGGGGATGTCAGTGAGAGAATTAAAATTTAAGCAGACGAAATACGAACATAAGGTAAAATTGACGTAATATGAAAGCTAAATATTGAATTAAAGGAAAAAAACTATATCCAGCCCGGTATTTCCAACAGTTTTTGACCATAAATAAATTTCGAGGCTATTAGTTGAAATGTATGTGGGCGGTTTCAAATTGAGGTAGACACCTGTAATTATACACTAAATAAGAATAATTTCCATTAAACCGGAATTAATTGAAGCCTGATCAATTAGAAAATAAACATTTATTTTTTACTTGCATCGATTACTTGTATGGAAAAAAAATAAAACATGTTTTATGTTATTATGGGTTTATTGTCGTAAAGACTGAGTCTAACTGTAATTTTGGTCAACCTATTTCTCTAATTATATAATATTATTAATATGTTCAGACAGTAATTCACTATACAAAGATTATAAACCAGATCGCAACCATCTTTTATTGACAAAACATAAAACGAAATACAAACCCCAAATCATAGGCAGAATACACACAATCATAACAATACACAATGTATACATCTTACAATTCCATACATACGAGGCGTTTCGGAAAAATAAGAAGGATAGGAAAACAATATAACAATATGAACATCCTTCAAAAAATACCTAAGTAATAGTTATCAGGTAGTAATCAGCGCTTTTAGATGGAGCGGAGCGTCCGCGTGTTTTTTCAAGATAGCCGTCGACGAACTCATCCGGACGGAGCATACGCAACCCATGTGAAATTATAAACTCATGGTACTTGCTCGAAGTCGCGGACGGTCCGCTCCATCTGAAAGCGCTGTAATTTGACATAATACCATTTTAACAGAACGTCAACAGGTTTTATAGACGTATCCAAAAAATATTATAGTTAACAGTAATATAAGTTATAGTTGAGACGTATCTCTTGAAAAAAAAAACTAAAATGTTCTTGAATAGTCGTATTTAGATATTTTAAATAATTTATTTTTGTTCATTGTGTTTTTTTTGCTTCCCATGACGGGAAGGGATATACTTCCCGAAGCATTAAGCATTTTTTGTCCGGTGACAAGTTGGTTTCCGTTGGATTAACGCAGCAGTCTTTACAACAAAACTACTTGCAGACCTTCTTACATTGGAAGTGGCGAAATACCCATCTACCTAATAAACCCAGGTCTTTTTTTGAAGAGATGAATCCGCCACAAAGGTATAGACATTTTTTATATTTTAAATAGTTTTTTTTTGTTCTTTGTTTTTTTTTGCTGCGGAGATGACGGGACGAGATATACCTCCTGAAACGTTAAGCATTTTTAGTCAGTTTCAATTTACCTAATAAATTTACCTGCAAATACCTAGAATTCTTTTCAAAATATTTCTATAATGTTATATATTTTTTAATAGTCATCAAATTTTTAATATCCTGAATTTATTCTTTTTTATATCAACTTTATTTCACTTAACTAGTTTAAATGCGATTTAAAATTTGAATAAAATATTTAGATACAATCACACCCTATTCATCATACAGCCAGTCGACTTCGCCCAGAATTTGACTGCTTACATAACATACGATAAGCGAATGTCTAGGTAAGAAATGATATTTAAGTCGACAGGCTGTCTAATGGGTTGGCTGTGGATGTAATAGCCCTATTTAAACATTGTTTGAAAAAAAAAGAAAAAAAATTATGTTATACTTAGTTTTAAATAATTTTGCAATATAGGCCATTCGATAGTGTGTAACAGAGCATTACTTCGATAGTGTGTAACAGATCAATACTTAATACATAAATATGTATATCAAGTTAGACCTATTAAGTATAGAATCAGTATTTATTCTTATAACAAATTATTATTAATTTGTTTAAAAAAATATCTAAATTGACCAAGAAGAAAATTAAATTAGTATTGACTTAAATCCCGTTTTAATTTTTCTGAGAAATAAATACTATTTAAGTTCATTTAAACACATTGACGTAAGAATAATTGAATAGACTATAAAGATATTAATAGAGGATATTTAATGACGTCACAAAACTTTTTGATATAGACTCGTTACGTAATGATGGGTGATTATTTATATTATCGATTGGTTAGCTCTACTTGTAAGGGGTGTAATTTTGGTTAAAATATTGTCTCGATCCCTTAGTGGTCTAAATAATATACTAAATGGTCCATGTTTGAATTGACACCGTTATACAGTCGAATTAAATAGGTCAAATAAAAAAATCAATATAGTTATTTAGTGCAGCCTATAACCACTTTCTTGAACTCTTTATTGTAAAGAAAATAGACACTATTTTATTTCTCTTCTCTTAAATGTTTTTTTTTTTCAAAACAACCTTTTTTTAATATATTATACATTTAATTTTGTTTGTTTTTGTTTTCTTCTTTAAATTTCCGGTATTTATTTTAATGGTATTTTTGTTATGTAATATAGATTTCTACAAAATTTTTGGCTAAATACATTATTTTTTTGTAACTGTACTAATAATAAATTTTAATGATAGGTGTATATACAATGTGCACAGGGCTTTATTTTAATTATTGTGGTATGTAAAGGGTAAATCCTTATAACGACTGGTGAAAATGAAAGTGATTAGCCGCATCCGATCTGCAGTGGACTCGATGTACTGTCACTTTAAAAAAAATGGCTACGAATTGGAACAACCTTTGTTAGAGCCTACGAAGCCTTGCAAAAAAGCTAAGCATTGAAAAGATGTGCCAAATGAAAAATAAACTCGCCGACTATATGAGCCTCATTCGCCTTGACCCATTTGTTTGAGCTATGCCCCAAAAAGCGAGGGCTGTACCAAACAAAATCGAAAAAGCTGAGTGGTTGCTGGTGCTGGATGGTTTGATTTCTACTGTCAACTTACATCAACTAATGTTCTTAATTGCTTGTATTTGAGAATACCATGTATTTTAGAGATAGTTTCCATTTAGTGTATTGGCTTGGTTAACATACACGGAGCCAGGAAAGTCACGAAGGCACCACAGACATGATTTCGAACGGAAATCCGTTGGATTTTTCATATTTTTTTTAAATCTAATCGGGAGCGGTATAAACTACTAGCACTGTTTTGTCTATACACTAGATCGCCATTTTGTCTGGAAGCTCGCTGCGTCCTTCTGAAGGTCCTTCAAAGCTAATGCCTTTTCTTGACGTGGCTCGTCATTTGGGATGAAAGCAATTGAAATTAGTGATTGAAACGTTTTGGAAATGAAACATATAGAGAACGGTGTTAAACCGGGAGACCAAACTATAATATTGTGCAGGTTAGAAATTTAGGAGCACGTGGAGGCCCATAGCGACTGCGTAGACATTCTTGAATGACAAGGAAAAGGCTCCGTGGCACCGATGTGTCTCACATTGGCCAGACATACTGGCTGTGGTGACGTCAGACGGCACAATATTGCGGAATACATCTCCATGCCAACCGAATAGCCATACTACTATGCCTGATCAATAACGAAACAACTACTAAGTTTTGTTTAGCCTAAAGCCATAATAATTTAGCGCTATTTTGCACAACAATCTGAAAACCATTTCAAAAACCCCGCGCTACACAATAGTTTAATTTCGCTTATTTTAAGTTAATAATAAAACAAATAAAAATACCCTTGCTATAATAGTCTTAAAGCGTCATATTTATTGTTTTATCTTCGATTATTCCTATTATTTTATATTAAAAACATAATATTATTAGAGTAAATATGTGAAAAATATAGTTCTCAACAGGTCCATTTTTGGCGCTTCTGCTTAGTCCTAAAATTTCGAACTATAGGTTTCTGTCTCGTTGTTTGCTGCGATCAATATCACCACTGAATTATTACATTTTTATTTTAGCGTGTAAGAACTATGTTTTTAAACATCTTAGAGAATAAACTATATAATAATTTACTTTATTTACAGGAAAAAGAATAGTAGTTATCTATATTCAAGGTAATTTACTAATTATAGATACAAAATTACCGAAATTTACGATTAAAAATTATTTTTATTAGCAGATTATCCATATATACAGATCATATAGAGTATTATATGATCTGCGATAGATGTATCATTCGATACATCTATCGTATACATATAATATTTTTTCAAACAATAACTATATCTTAAGACTATTAAGTAATGAGGCTTTTTTATTTAGGGCATAAAAACAAAAACATATTTTTTCTAAAGTAATTGAATGATATATTACCATTAATTAAATTTATTTTAAAATAAATGAACATACGATGCCCTTATTATCGAGCCGCTACTGTCAAGATATTACGAAAACTACAAAATACAAATATCGCAATAGATATGTATAGTTCGGAAAGCGTCTGATAGATGACAAATTACATTATCTAGTTTCTATATTCACCGCAAAATGCTAAGATAGAATTTAATTTCCAATATTTTCTATATATAGTTTAAAACATATTTAAATTATATTAAATTCAGGCTTTAAAAGTCTATAGAAAGCAGATTATTTTCAAAAATAAATCGCGGCAAATTGTTGGTTCCAGAATTCCATAAATATTATATATTTTTATGTAAAAAATACAATGCATAAAATATCCACATTGTGATTGGTACATTTAGAATTCGTGGCCTATTGCCAGACTTACTCCTAATCCCTTATTTTCCTGTTTTTCCCACTAAATAATAAAGATCTAAGAACTAAAGGAGTTTCTAGACTATCTAGATTTTCTTATATGCTATTTTAAAATATGGAATAAATTATCTTAAATGTTACAATTAAAATAAGTTTTAGGCTTATTACATATTTATTTGATAAATAATAAATCCAATAAAATATATTAAAGCATTTTTTTGGCCCACTTGTTAGTATTTTAACCCACTATCTCAAATTAAAATAGCATTGTTGTTAACAAAGTCGGCTATGATTTCTGCTTTATGAAAATACTTCCTTCTTATTGGTCAACTCACATATGTCACCACAATGTCAGAGTTAAACACTTTAGAATGCTGGGAGATCTTTTTTTAATAAAAAGTGAGTTTTGAGTATAGTATTCGTTCGTAAAATTCTTATTTGTGCATCGTTCAGCCTCTCAAAAAAGTGAGTACTTGATATTTTCTTTATATTTCGTTATGTCTCGATAAGATTTTTTGCAATCTTGTATCGTCATGGCGTCTTCGCCTTTTCTTGTCTTGTATTATTAATTCTTGATATTTGTTTATAAGTTTATTATAGATATTCTTTACTACATAGGTTTAAATATCGCATATTTTGTGAACATTTTCTGAATTTTTAATGCTGCATGAGCTTTTTTTTCATTGTATTATGTAAGTGGGTAATCAAAGTGGTGATTTTTTTTTTTAAATGTTCTAGACGTATTATATGTTCTTCACGTATTATAAAGAAAAAAAAACATTACTGTTAGTAGTCTGTTTGTTCGAAAATTATTTTTGTGCTTCTTTCACACTGTGTGATTTCAATTTTTAATATTTATTTTCGAACTGTTATGGAGGCTAATTAATTTAGGAATATTTAATACCGAATTATATTTAATACGAAATTATTAATACCTCTCGAAAAATCCGTTGGTTAAACGTAACATATCTTTCATGAATTTTCTTATTTTTTGATAGCCACAAAAACCTTACAGAGTTTTATCTTTTCAGACGCGATTTAGTACTACACATCAGCACACTGTCGCCCAGAGGCCGAACAGGCAGGGATATTATAGGATCCTGGATATTATTAGGGAATTTTACGTAAGTAAATTTTACCGATGGTGTCCCGACGGATTGGATCAAAGGGTGGCGCTCCAGGACGCGACGCGGCCTTCTTCCGAAGAGGAGTCCTGAATCGTCTCCCGAACTTGATGTTGTCTTATGAAATCCTATGTAGCATGCGATGGTAGGTCGCTCGATGATCTCAGATGCGGCTGTTTAATTGGGATCGGGAGTTGACTGGTAAGACAAAATCATCGAAAAGGATCAAATCTGCAGAAGCAACCACACCTCGGACGCGACGAAGAATTTTTTTGTTCTGCATCTGCCTGACGTCGATTTATGGGTAGATATTAGGGACAGAGAGGGTAGCATACCCCAGCTAAAACCAAATAAAGTAAGTCTATTTTATGTTTCTTTGTTAAGATTTCCGAAACTGATTATTTTTTTCTATTTTTCTAGGATAATTCGAGTTCGTGATGCGTTTAAGTCAAAGAATATTCCAGATGAACTATTGCAATACGCGTGTGATTGGTCCTAAAGCTTCTTCGGATTCTCCCAGGCACCATCGAATACCTGGTGACGTGTTAAGTACTAACTCAAGAGGAGTTGGAACATTCCCCATGCCCAAATGCAGCTTCAAGTAACTGTCTTTTGTCTTTTCGTCTTTTAATTATAATGGGACTGAAGAAATACCGGCGAATTGATATGGTGGTAAGTTTATAATACATTTTTTACTTATGTTAGATTTATTCTAAAATTCTAATACTGCATTTCTCTATCTACAGATAAAGCAGCTCAGCCCTTAAATGAAACCTCACGCATATGAAGAACTAATTTGTAGCAAAGAGTACTTATTTTAATTAATTTCTTAATGATGCTAATGTATTATTTTATATACAGGGTATCCCAGAAATAAGTGCAAGTATTTTAAGGAGTGATAGATCTCGATAAAAGAAACATATTTTCTCGTTATCGTTTTTCAAATAAATCCAAAATAACGGAGTTATTTTACTTTGAAAATTTCCAAAAAAAATATTTTTTTGTTAAAATTTTAAGAACCACTGGATCTTTTCTGGATTTTCTTTCTTGTAAATTTAATGTAATACCCATGTTGCCATACTATCAAGAAATTATGTTTTTTTAACTAAAAACTAAAAAAAAAATCCAAAAAGTTCGAAAAAATTTCGAATTTTCATTTTTTTTTCGCGAAAAAAACTTCATAGGCGTGTTTCTGGGGTTGAACTATACTACCAGTTAAAATGCTTGCACTTATTTCTGGGAAACCCTGTATAATATACTACAAATAATGCTATCTTCGATTTCTAAGTTATTTTAATTTTAAGCCAGCTTTGTTCAAGAAATGGTAATTTTAGAATATTTTATATTTAATCCAGGGACCAAGGCGGTGTGTTGAACATCAATATGCCGTCTTGTTCTTCTTCTCGGTACAGCCATAGCAGTTCTGCTTAGAACTTTTTCTTGCAACCATCAAAGTCTACTTGATTTCATAATACTATGAAATCAAGTAGGTTTTACGGGTACGCCCCTACTGTGTGTGTAAAACATATATAATTTATTAATAGTACATACCTACATGCGTTGTGTATGCATATATTAATGTACATACACGCGGCACAACTATGTACTAGTAAGTACCATTGTACGTCGCGTGTATGTATTACCATGCACGTTCCTGTGTATTTGTTTTATGCACATACAACACGTATTAGTAGCTAGTTACTATAATAAATAGTACCTACTACTCCGTGCGTTTTGTATATCATAAAACATACATGACACAAGCACAGTAGGCTTGCTTTGGTAATTTAGAATATATTATACTATGTAACTAACCCCTGTTGATTTTTTAATTTTTAATAAATCTGGTTTAAAATATAATAGTGGTTTTCTTGAATTTTAAAAAATTGATGCGTATGTGGCGCCCTCTTGCGACAAAACGCTGAATTAAAAATTTAGTTTCAGCATTTTGCCACTAGAGGGCGCCACAATCGCCCAAAAACTATGCGATGTGGCGCCCTCTTACGGCAAAACGCTGAACTAAAAATTTAGTTTCAGCATTTTGCCACCAGAGGGCGCCAACGTCGCATAATTATTGCGCCAATGTGGCGCCCTCTTGCGGCAAAACGCTGAACTAAAAATTTCGTTTCAGCGTTTTGACGCCAGAGTGCGCAACGTCGCATAATTTTTGAGCGAATGTGGCGCCCTCTTGTGGCAAAAACCTGAACTAAAAATTTAGTTTCATCGTTTTGCCACCAGAGGGCGCCAACGTCGCATAATTTTTGAGCGAATGTGGCGCCCTCTTGCGGCAAAACTCTAAACTAAAAATTTAGTTTCAGCATTTTGACGCCAGAGTGCGCAACGGTCGCATAATTTTTTGAGCGAATGTTGCGCCCTCTTGCGGCAAAACGCTTAACTAAAAATTTCGTTTCAGCATTTCGACGCCAGAGGGCGCTACGATCGCATAATTTTTGAGCGAATGTTGCGCCCTCTTGCGGCAAAACGCTGAACTAAAAATTTAGTTTCAGCATTTTGACGTCAGAGGGCGCCAATGACGTGAAATTAATTAAAAAAATAAATAAAACAAAAAATATTTGCAAAAAATTATTTATTTATTGTTCTTAATTTAACAAAAAGAGCGCTAGATACAAACCTTACATTACATTTAAGGGTTTTTGATATTTATGAGTGTGAATTTTACACAATGGGGCAAGTTTTATGTTGGTATGTACATATACATACAGTAGTGTGTGTGTGTGTGTGTGGAGATATGCACACACTACTGTGTGGTATACACACACATCTCCTGTACGCGTTTAGTGCATGTACTAAAACGCACACTTGAGGAGTGTGTGTGTGCTACACTCCAACACAAAACTTCCATGACTGTACCGAGAAAAAGAACAAGGCGGCATATGGAAGTTCTCCCAACGCCGCCTTGGTTCCTAGCTCGGTACAGCCAGAAGTTTTCCTTGTCCGCTACAACTGTAACGGACAAGGCCAACTGCGAAAAATTCTGTGGAATACTAGAAGGATTGCGCAGCAGTACGATTATGGCTGTTAACTTGTGCATGCAATTCTCCGATGCCGCCCTATTCTCTGGGTCGCTAGAGCCAGAGGTTTTGCGCCGGTGCGGTGTGGCCACCTAAAGAAGTGTAAGTTTTAAATTATTAAACTTATGTCTCCTACTACAAATTTTCATTACAGAATTTGAAAATTTGTTGTAGGCAAGGCCAACTGTGAAAGAAAAGATAGTAGGCTGAAATCGGCTTATAATGGCGTAAAAAGGTAAGTAGCCTGTCGTAGAATTTAGAGAACTTTTCAAGTACGTAGTACTTTTTCAGTTTTAATACAAAAAACCGTGTGATTGAAAAAAAAAATATATATTACAGTATACGTAATTATTATATATGTATATCAGAATAAAGAATAAATATCTCAAACTAGAAGAATAGTTCAATTCGAAACTTGATATACATGGCTGTTCACGCTATTCAAGACAATATTGTACATAAATGGTTTGAAGTTAAATGGTTGTTTGATTTTTAGACGTTATGAATGGTCGTTGAGAGATCTGGAGCTAAAAAATTTTAAAAATTAAATAATTTAATTACAACACTTCGCGTGAATAACCCTATACACGGCCAAAAAATTCTATGATTAACCGTGCTTTATATGATTCTTTGCTACTACCCTTGCATATATACTTTTTATATAAACAAGGCTACTACCAAAATCAATGCCCACTTGATCATAAAAGTTTTTGTTCGCACGCGAAATACTTTATATCTATGCTTTATGTTATAATATTTAAATGACTCACTAACTAACAATCAGATGTGATTTTTAAGAACTTTAGACTATAGAAATAGCCATAATATCACGATAGCAAAATATTTTTTATTTTTTTTATCTTCAGTTGAAAAAGTTCTATGCTACGCCCTTGGTATATTCGGAGTATCTTAAACATTTAACGGATAATAGGAGGAATAATGAATGAATGAACCATAGGCGTGGAGCAAAAGTTAAGAAAAAATATTATACGACAGCCACAAATCTAATTCTTACCTTTTCTACATCGTCGATTTACAGCGCAGCGCAATCCTTTAATATCCTACAAATAAAAAATCTCATACATTTTATTATTAAATACATAAATTAATTAAAATAAGTACTCTATGCTGCAAATTAATTCTTCATACGCTAAAAATTACTTTTCTTAATTTAATTTCTGAGAAAAAGTGTGAGGCTATAGGTAATAAAAACCTGCTTAGAGAGCTGTTACTGGTTATCACTGATGTATAGATAAACACATATTTTTTTAAATGGCTATAAACTAATTTAGGAATACACAAAATGTAGACAATGTATGATTAAACTTAACAAGAATATTGAGTAAAATTTTTAAGAGTAGAATATAAAATTTTTATGAAACGTCAGCATATGAAGAACAATTATAATTAATTATTAAGTGCTTAAATAAGGGGTTTACCACCAAATTAATATCGTTTAACAAAAATAAAATATAATCGGCTTAAGTGTGCCATTCATGTAACATAATATGTTAAAAAACACTAATTGTATTTATGTATTACTGCATTTAATTACTTTAATTATCAGCTGTAACCTGTATAATTATTATACTGAGCTAAAAAAATAAACTTATACAAATAGACATGAAAATTGAAAATTTAGAGTTGCAATAATACAAGAATAAAAGTAGTGTTTTTGTAGTAATAAACTATAATACCGTATGATCGAAAAAAAAAAGACGTCAGCGATGGCTATGAAATGAAGATCGCTGTCATTTTATATGTAAATTTATATGGGAATGGGAAATGTCATCGATCGTCATTTCCCAGCCAACTGGACGCCTTTTCTTCGATCATGCGGTAAAACGAATATAAATATAAGACAAGTCTTAAGTTTATCGGCATAGAGAATTTCATCCTCGATGTATGTTTGGTTGCATACTCATTGAAGAAATAAATCCATGGATGTTATAACTGATATTTTATAAACATAATAATTAACTAATGTAACTTAAATTATTAAATGTACACCTTTCTAAAAAAATACGTAACGTAAAAATTATATATTTTAGTTATCAATTTTTAATAATACTATTTAAAATTTATTATTATTAGAAACATACTTAAAAATTTAAATTACCTACATTAGTAAATTATATGTTATAAAAGTTTACAACTAGCAGGAGGAATTTTTGCTGAATCCTGTTGACGATGAGGAGGAGCAGGAGGGAAGCAACAGCTAGAAGCAGCAAAATAAATACCTACAAGTAAAAATACTATCAGTAACAAGAATTTCTGTAAGAACTGTTTACGTAAATGTCTAAGAAGATATTTTAAATTTTATTACTCAAAGATTTTTTATATTACTGTAAAATTCTATGGAAAAAAGCTTTCAGATAAAGAAAATACAGTAGAGATTTTATAAAAATAGCTCCAAAAGGTAGAATAAGAAAAACAGCCGATTTTTTTATATTTTTTGATTCGGTATAATATATCTTTGTCGTCTTTTAATATTGCCCTTCTGTGCTTTTTATTATATCTCTAATGAATATATACGCTGATTCACACATATCCAATAGCTGGCACATTTTCGCTGGCACGGTTGTGACACCTGTGTAAACACATCTTCGTACCAATCACTAGCACGAAAAGGTGTTTACATCATGCCACTACCATGCTAGAGTAGTGAAACTGGCGCCAACTACACTATAAGTGTAAATCAGCCTAAGTATAAAATTAGAAATGTTTCTTACTCTAAGAAGAATGCTGGTAGTTCTTTCAATTTTGAGATTTGCGAAAAAGTCAAGACAACCTACTGCTGCTGTTCCATCAACATATCGGATGTTAGCCAAGAATGTCAATATGTTATTGTAGCATTTCCTAAAATAAAATAAATAAATATTAGCTTTATCGTACTCTAAAACGTGTTTCAAGCCATATAACAACTTAAACGTAATCATATACAATCATTGAACTATTCAAATCAGGCAGCTATTAGTTTAAAAAAATAAGATTATATACTTACATTTAAAACACAAAGTGGTCACTTCAAGATGTTTCATCAGCTAGGACAATCAATTTTTACAGCTGGTACAATTTGAGGTATGAGAGGATAAACCAGGGTTTTCAGACCATATTGCAGTATTTCCTAAAATAAAATAATCAATTTCTAGCTTTTCTCATAACATATGATTTAAATGAAGTAGAGGTAATAGTAGAGGGAGTTATAAAAATAGTAGAGGGAGTTAATAAAATGATATTCAAATTATCTCAATCTAATCAATAAAATTTTTCGGTAGATTAAATTTAAACTTACATTTTTTACAAGCAAAATACAGTCTCTAGATTGCTTCATAAGATCGATAATCTACCGAAGTACATCTTCTCTTCATCTTCAAATGTGTCCGTATCCCGTCCCCGAGGTCCCACGCAATATGTACACGAAGAAGACTTGCGTAGCTTGGGTGCCAGGTCGTATCTGGCTAAAGCCTCTAGTATTAGAGCACCTATCCTTGTAAACCAGAAGATGGTGGATCCCTTGGGTACCTATGCATGCTACATAGGTCATCGTAAGGCCGAAAATTAAATTCAGGAGATGATCCAGGTCTCCTCTTCGGAAGAGGGCCGCGTCGCGCTGCATTGGCAAAATTTAATTAGGAAACTTCATTAACTGCCCTCAAGTTAATTAATAATATCCCTGCCGGTTCGTCCGCTGGACGACAGTGTGCTGATGTGTAGTATTAAACCGTGTCTGAAAAGAAAAGAAAAAATACTGTAAGGCCTTTGTGGCGAACAAAAAAAAAAACAGGAAAGGTATGTTAATGTGCGTTCACAGCGGCTGCGCCGCTCCGCGCAATTCATTTTTTTAACATATTATTATACTTTTGTGCGCGCTAAAAAAATACACTTCAAAAGTACATGTTAAATAAAATATGTTTGGCGCGGAGCGGCGCAGTCGATATGAACGTACCTTTACGTATAACAGTAACAAATTCCAAAAAATCTCAAATCAAAAATATTTATTTATTTCGAGAGGTATTATTTTATTTATGCTGTTATATCGTACCACAGTACAAGAAAAATATGAAATAAGTGTTATATATGGATACAGTTAAAAACGGTATTTAATGAAAGTTATAAGAAAAATAAATAACAAATTTGACATAAAAATAAAAACTAAAAAGCTTAATTTCACCATATACATATATTCGTAAATTAATAAGGCCTTTGTTACTATACTGCATTAATATAAATTCACGAATTAACAAATACCAACTGTAATGGCCTTTTCTTTATAATATTGTAGACATTAAAAAAATCGCCACTTTAGCTACCCATTACATATAATACAATGAAAAAAGCTCATAGAATCTTATGCGGCATTAAAATATCAGAAAATTTTGACAAAATATGCGATATTTAAACTTCTGTAGTAAAAAATATCTACAATAAACTTAAACAAAAAAAAAACAAGAATAATATAACGAAGACGCCATGGCGTTACAAGATTGCAAAAAATCTTAATCTAGATACAACGAAATATAAAGCAAATATCAAGTACTCACTTTTTGGAGAGGCTGAGCAAAGCACAAACAAGAATTTCCGAAAAAGTAGTGTACACAAAACTCACTTTTTAATAAAAAAAAATCAGAAAATTTTAAATGCCAGCGACAAAGATATGCGGATCTCCCGTGATTTAAGTGTTTAGCTTTGATCGCCATTTTCCGGAAGTCGAGGTGACATGTGAGTTGACCAATAAGAAGGACGTATTTTCATATAGCAGAAATCACAGCCGTCTTTGTTGTTATTTTAAATTTAGATAGTGGGTTAAATTACTAAAAAGTGAGTCAAAAAATGCATTAATATATTTTATTGGATTTATTTATTTATGAAATAAAAAATGTAATAAGCCTAAAACACCTTATTTTTATTGTTATCTTTTCTATCTACTAGAAATATAGAAACTAGATGTATATATGTATAGAGATGTCTATTTCTCTGGTATAGATTTACTGTAGATGTATAATAAACGTTGCCTTCTATCAGACGCTTGACGAATAATTATACCTATCTATTGCCTGGGATATGGAACAGTTGTGGACGGAGACGAAGGGGATATCAAATGCGAAAAGAAAACAAAAAACTTTCTTTTATAAATACAAAACGGAATTCTGCCGTTGGCCATATTTCAATTTTAAAGATGTCAAAGCCACAGATTATACTAGCGCAGTAGTCAAACTATTTCTAATGATATTTGTAAATGGACCAATAAATAAATTAATGGTATGGGACCCAAAATACCCTTAAAATAACTTAAAATGATGCTAAAATGTATTTGGGGACCCCAATACATGCCCTATTACACTATTACCCCATTTTGCACCCATTTTGAATAAAAAACACGACACCACTGATTATACATTGAAGTAATTTGACATTTTATTATTCTAAGGATGCCAAGGATGGGTAAAAATAAGGACCCTATTTGTTTCGTAATAAATGATATTATTACATGAAGTCAGAAGTGTACCCAACATAAAAAAATAAAATACCCTAGACCATTTAATCGATTAACCATCTTCTATGGCACTAACCTAAAAGAGTGTTTCTGTTTCTCTACCTATTGTCAAATGAATTAAAGAAAATAAAGCTGTGAAAGAAACAATGAAAAGTGTATATATTTTAATAGAATTGGTGGTTTAACCAAATATGATGTCGTTTTTCTAGAATTAAATCTGGATTATTTGAATATTTGACGAGTGCAATATGGCTAGTAATAATGTAGAAATAGAATGGCTTAAAGGTTTAGGGGTATCTTCAGACTTTGGTGCCACTCTTTCTACAGTTCCTGAGAATCAACCAGGAACATCGCCCGTAAATCAATATGAGCAAGTCGAGAGAACCAGTCTTAGCAGTAATACACTAAAGGTTAGATGTGCTTAAATCTATTTTGGTCACATAAAATGTGTAATGAATTTTTAGAGAAACACTAAAATGGAATTATCAAAAAGTGACTTATTAAAGTTAGTCACTTGCTTTGAGGGCGAAATACAAGCAAGGGATATAGCACTTGCAGCTTTAAAAGTAACAATTCATAAGTCATATTGCCATTAATTGACCAATTAACATATTCATATTGTAGTCTGAAAAATTAAAACAAGTAGTTAATTTAGGAAGATATAGACCCATCCTGATGACTGATCCATATACAGCTCTTCTGCGAGATAGTATTGCTGATACCCTAAATTCCAAAGTTCCTGTTAGTGAAAAAGATATGCAAGCTGCAGCCGAACATCAAATACAAGCTTTAGAACAGCTGGCAATGCAACAGAGATGGGCTCATCAACATATGATCAACATTTTAAAGGAAGCTGAAATTAAACATAAAAAGGTATCATACATAAACACATATTTTGTATATACTTATATATACAAACACATATTAAACATATTGTAGGTCATTCAGGAATTAGAAGAAGAAAAGTGTAAACATGAGCATGATACAGCTCAGGGAGATGATATTACATATGGACTAGAAATGGAAAGGACACGTTTACGACAAGAACTAGATATGGAACGAAATGCAAGAAAAAAGTTAGAGAAAGAAGTTAAGAGACAAGTTGAATTGGCAGATGAGGAAAGGGCTAGACAAAAACAAATTGTGTTGTTACTTTTAGCAGAAAGAAAGAAAATAATAGTTAAGTATATTGAAGAACGAAAAAGAAGTGAAGATTTAGCACAGGTAAAAAATTAATACAACCATTTCCTATCTTAACTAATAACTGGAATGTCTTAGATTTTATCTGAAGAAAAAGCAAGGATTGATACAATGGCAGAGGGTTTAGAAGAGGAGAGCAAAAAGTCACTTCAAATGGAGGCTGAACTTGAAAAACAAGCTCATGAGTTTGAAGTTGAAAGAAAACATTTTAAAACTCAATTAGCTGCAAAAGAACAAAGGTAACATCATTGTCATCAGCTAGAAAATCATTTAGTTTTTATTTTACTTAATAGGATATTGGAAATTGAGACTGAAATTAATAGATTAAGAGCTGAATGTGATGCAATAAGGAACAGAATCCCGCTATCAGACAATGGGGCAGCTATGATTAGTAGTGTGGCGAAGGTAGTACAACCTACAGCAACTGTATCCAGTGTTCCAGTATCAGGCCCAAGTAAAACTCGCAACAAAGTATTTTCTACACAATTAAATTAATTTATATTCCAGCTACTGGTATAGCACAGTCGGTCACACCAGGACAAGCCCTTCGACAGCCTGTTGTACCTATCTCTTCCTCTACATTATCTTCTACAAAAGTATGATAACAATACTACTACAAAAATATGAAGATTAGGGGTACTCATTATTACTAAAACCTAAGTACCATGAGTACCTCTGAGCACATTCACCAGGAAATATACTAAATGCAAATAAATGTTTTTAGCTTGGCCAGGGAACAGCTGCGATAGATTCGTCTACGATCAGGCCCGTTCCCAAGTCCACGTTTCATTCTCACCTGCAGCAGCCAGCACAAACAGTCCCACAGACACCACCTAAAAAAGGAGCGGCTGCCAGAGGCGTCCCGCCACCCATACCACCCAACAAGCCAGTGATACCAAGTAAGACGGCAATTTCCCGAAGGCCTGATAGTGCCGAGTATGAGAAAAAAAAGCCTAAAGATGGAGAGCCCCAAACAACTCAACAGGTAGTCAGAACAGGTCAGGGCATCGAAATATTGGGCCAAGAGCTGGCCGATTTTCAGCAAATGTTTGTCACTATGGCTACAAGCAATAATGCTTAAATTGTGTTAAAAGAATTTGTTCTGTTTGCCTGTAGAGCTGAATAAAGTAAAGCTTTCAAAGTCAATATATAGAAATTAGTTGTGATATGATAATTAATATTTTTTTAACAAGACTTATTTTAGCTACAGATGGAGTAAAATGAGAGACTCACTAAGGTATTATGTTTAATCTTTGTTAGGACCACTCTAAAATAAAAAATGTAACTATGTTTACCTTATTTGTAAGTAATATTTTTCTGACATTATGTCTTAACAAATCACAATTTTCTCTATATTAAAACAACATATTTACCAGTGATGTCCCTCTAATTTTAACTCATGCTGTAGGTAAAAAATGACAAGAGCTGATATTTTCTTATAAAATAAACATTTTTTTTAATGGAACTCCGATGTTGTTAAAATACAAGTTTCATAACTAATAATTTTCTTATTTAGGAACTGCCAGTAACCCATCATCTTGAATTACCTGCAGTTTTGTCAGCGGTGGCAAGTTTAAGGGTATGTGTTTATTTGGTACCCTATTTTCATAAATACAACATAAAACTTGTATTTTTAGGTCGGGGAGCGTTTTAACAATATTTAATTGCAGTGATAAATGGTTATTAAAAGTGAAAAAATAAGGAAAATATGAACTCTGTTAAGTATAGGTAAACTATCAAAAGGCAGTGCGACAACCTGTAGAAAATAATTATGTGTATAAAAGAGGCTCTGTATAAAAAACACTTTAGAGGTATTGTGATGGATGAAGAAAAAATATTTAAGTCTTTCTGTCTATATATTTAATTTAGGATGTAAATATATTTTCTATTTAAATGGGCCATATACAGGGTTGTTCACCACATACGACACGGAGTATTGTAGCTAAACGATGAGATTTTTACAAATTATCAGTTTGGGGTTCGTTGAAGGACTATTAGAGCTACAATTTAAAAATATTTTTACAATATACAGAGTGTCCCAAATAAATAAAAAATATCAAAGTTGTATTTTTTTAAATGGAACACCCTGTATATTATTACATTTTTAGTTTCTACGATTAAAATAAAGGTAAATTTGATTAAGGTTTATTATACTTAAACCTTACCGTTTTTGAAATATTTTCAATTTTTTGAAATTGCAGTAAAAATTTTAAAGCTTCATTTCTCCAAGGGTATCAATGTTTTTAATACTAAATATTTAATGAAGTTTATTTATTGATCAGTTATTGTGTTGTAATAATAAAAATAATACTACCTTATACAGAGTGTCTAAAAATTTATTTTAAATAATTATTAGCTTCAAACGGCAATAACTTCTTTAATTTAAATGGAATGCCCTGTATATTTTAGGAGAATCAGATGCACAATTAAATTGTCTATCAAATTGTATTATACCATTTTTACCTATCCCTTCAAGTTTTCGTAGAAAATGCATTTTCTTATAATTTAGACCTCATTTATCAATACATCCATGGAATATTGACATTTTAGATTGTTTTTAAAGCAACAAATGTACAAAATGTACAGACTAGTAATATTATCGTTTTTAGCAAAACGATATTACTAGCCCATTTGTATGCAAAAAGAAAACTATTTAAATCTTTATAAAAGAGTATACCATTAATTAAATATAACACCATTATTTACGCCCATATACTAATTAATGACATACTTAATTGTGTTCGTTAATAAATTATTATAAATAAATGTGGATTTTTGAGTCAGAAATCAATATAATAATAAGTTATCAAATTAAAGTCTTTGTTGTTATAAATAAGCATTTATTAAAAATGAAATATCATTTTTAAGGTGTTACTTTTTATCACACTGTCTAATGCCCATACAAAATTCAGTTTTTTAGTATTTGGAGCAATTATTATTAATCAACGCAAACAGTCAGTTAATGTGGTTTGAATACTGGAATCATATTAATTGGTCCTCTTTAACAAATATTTAAACAGTTTTTTTATTTTTTAAAGAAATAAACGAATTATATCGACAATATTAGTATCTGTACTCTTTAAAAATTTGGTACATCTTTAAAAATAATCTAAAATGTCAATAGTCCATGGGTATATTGATAAATAAGTTCTAAATTACAAGAAAATGCATTTTCTACGGAAACTTAAAGAGATAGGTAAAAAATGGTATAATATTATTTGATAGACAATTAAATTGTGCATCTGATTCTCGTAAAATATACAGGGCGTTCCATTTAAATTAAACAAGTTATTGCCATTTGAAGCTAATAATTATTTAAAATAAATTTTTAGACACTCTGTATAAGGTAGTATTATTTTTATTATTGCAACACAATAACTGATCAATAAATAAACTTCAGTAATTATTTAGCATTAAAAACTTTGATACCTTTGAAGAAATGAAGCCTTAAAATTTTTACTGCAATTTCACAAAATTGAAAATATTTCAAAAACGGTAAGGTTTAAGTATCATAAACCTTAATCAAATTTACCTTTATTTTAATCGTGGAAACTAAAAATGTAATAATATACGGGTGTTCCATTTAAAAAAATACAACTTTGATATTTTTTACTTATTTGGGACACTCTGTATCTTGTAAAATTATTTTTAAATTGTACCTCTAATAGTCCTTCATCGAACCCAAAACTTACAATTTGTAAAAATCTCATCGTTTAGCTACAATACTCCGTGTCGTATGTGGTGAACAACCCTGTATAAATGAAATATTATGGAACATTAATTTGCTTCCGCCTTGATACCTTTACTTAAGTACAGGTATGTCTTAAATTGCATGGACCAAACATAACAATTTATCTGCTACGTATTTACTGATATATATCAGTAAAATAAAATAAAACTGTGTAATCTATTTTATTTTTAAATATCTTATTTTTGTTGATCTTTGATCCAAAGTTTATGATAAAAACATTGTGTTGAAAGGTTTACATGCATACATTTAAGAAAAAATATCTAGGTTTTGTCTAAAGTTTGGTTCACGCAATTCGAGGTAGCCTGTAGTAATATGTATTAACGTATTAACCGGTCTTTAGACAATATTAAATGAACATCGTGCTTTATTTAGCTGTATCTCCTTTTACATGTCGATACTATATTCTTACATGTAAAAGAAACTTAAATTCAAACCAATTGTCCATTGTTTAGCAATAATATGTATGTAACTTTAATCGTCATAGTAATTTGTCTTCCTTCAGCTTATCACAAAACCTCTGCTCTTAAAATGAGAAAACATAGGGTGCCTATCTTTTATTATTAAGTAATACTAATAGTATTGTCGCTGATGCCAACTTTGAACTTATTCTTATCACAGAAAATCTCAATGCATAATTGAAAAAAGGAAATTAAAACCTAGAAATTTAATAGACATCACATTAGGTCTCAAAACATAAAGACAATAAGTATTTATATATTTAATGGTTGGAATGCCTAAATAAGATAATATTAATATGTGAATTGACTTCTTTTTAGCAGAGTTGGCATCAGAAATCAATTGCAAGACTTATGGATTGGACAACAATTTTTGCTATCCAACCGTAAACACATACTTGGAAAGTTTAATTCTAACTTATTTGACTGACGTTCATTAGGGTGCATCAAATTTTTTTTATCTTTTAATTACCGTGAAAATATCGTTCACGATGATGAAAAAAAATCTGGTAAGAGTTTAAGATCTTAATAGTAATATTAAGAGATGTCTCATCGTGATTTTCTATTTTCCATTTAAATAACACGGGGAAAAGTATTTTTTTGTTTGGAATTTTATTACGGTCTAACAAATCAGCGTATTGTAAAAATCAATACACATTCCTGTAGGAAATTTAACGGTCTTCAAAAAAGTTCTATGATTTTTCATTTAATCTCGACTCATTTGAAAGTTATTGAAGGTTTAAGTTCAACTTCAAATCGTACTTGATAACCGATTTTTTATATTTTATCACGAAATAATAATAATAATAATCTTTATAATAAGCTGCCGTACGCAAAGGACAATATTGCTTTTTAGATAATATTTTTTATTACCCAAATCTGCTACACCTTTACTAACTTTCAAACGAGTCAATTAAATGAAAAATCATTTAAAACCTTTTTTGAAAATCGTTCAATTTCCTACAAGAATATGTATTGATGTTCAAAAACACGCTGATTTGTTAGAAAGCAATGAAATTAAAAAAAAATCCCGTGTTATTTAAATGCGATATAGAAAATCACACTGAGACACTTCTTAATATTAATATTAAGAGCACAAACTTTACCAGCATTTTTTTCATCATCGTGAGCGATATTTTCACGGTAACTAAAATAAAAATAAAAAATATATATATATATATAATCACCCTACTGTTCATAATGTAATTTACTTGAAGTAATATATAAAAAAAGTTTCACAAATAAGCTAGAAGTAAACTCATTCAGAAATGGTATGTATTACAACACCAACGTATAATTTTATTTGGTAGCTAGTTATGTGCAAAATTGACATATAGTTCTCTAAATAGTTTGGAAATTTCTGTAAACACAATTTGGATAGCCTTAAAGTAAAATGCATATATACATATTTTAAGATGTTACATAATAGTATTTATTTTTTATTTATTTATTTGTACCTTTTCTCGGTTGCTACTTAAATTCGAATACGATCTCCTGTATTTGTGCGAGTGTTGTATTTATTTTAATTAATGACAAACTTATATGTTTTTGTTCTAGAATATTGTTTATTTTTTGGTATAGATTAGCCAGAAAATTAGTGTTCCATGGTAGGCCTGCATTCGAATAAATTCTTATAAAAATTATTTATTTCATTATTTGGAAATATAATAGGATATTTTAAGTGTAGGTATAATAAATGTACGAGAATTATTCCAATGCAAGTTTACTATGATTTGATTTGTATATATATATAGTTGCAAACATAGATCAAAATTATTTTGTCATCATTTAGACATATCTTGTTTTTTTCATGTATCTGTATAGAACCATTGAAAAAAAATGTAATAAATTTCTATAAGGATATTTCTTTTCTATAAGGACTGTTCTCCATAACCGTTATGGAATTATCGTAAGCATGAATAGGAAAGGCGTTCATGGTAGAATAAATTTAGCTGATTTAGTGATATAAATTGTTTAGAAAATATTTTTCAGGATTCTTCACCTCATAAATTGATTGTATAGCTTTAAATAATGAAATGGTTACATTTATTGACTTAATTTTGGATAACATTTATTTTCTATGTATTGTTTAAATTATAACTGCAAATTTTGTGAATTTAAATTAGATAGTCATAGGAAAAATAATTGTGTAAAAAACTGACTTATACTTTACGTTTCTTATTGTTTCAGAAATTATTCTGTATCAATAAAGCATGAATATTTTTTATAAATTATTACTCTATCCTTCTATTCAATAATTCGAAATAGAATAAGGCCAATAGTGGAAAGTATTGTGGTCGTCTTTAACGTGTTTTAAATAAATATTCTTGTTACAAGCGGAATGCTGAAATTTAAACCTATTATGAATAATCTAATTAGGCATAAAATTCAAGGGCCTGGCAGAGTTTTAATTTTAATTCCGTCGTGTCGGAGTGAATGATGTTTGTCAGCACCGAAACTTGCCTAGTTTTCCTTTTATACTCTATTTCATCATTTGTAATTACCCATCGTTCGTAAGTGTTCCAGAAGTGTCTTTTTTTGTATGAAAAATTGCATTCGGGCTTACTCAAACTGTATACGTATTTTTAGAAACCATTCTGCGAGTAAAATACGAGATTACATAGAAGAGACTAGTTTATCACTGAGGGACATTTTACCATTAAGGCCCAAGCACTATGATAAGAACAGGGCCCCGAAATTCAACGGGCAGCCCACTATAGTTTATTTTCACGTGACCGTCTTGTCGTTAGACTCTATAAACGAGGAATCAATGGTTAGAACTTTTTATATAAAATAATTAATATACACTTAACGTTTAAACATTTAGACTTACGTTACTGATATATTTCTGGCTCAAAGTTGGCGTGATCCCAGACTAAGACTTCCAGAAAATATGAGCGAGGAGTATCGTATACTGGACGTGGAATGGTTGCATAGCATTTGGAGGCCAGATTGTTTTTTCAAAAATGCCAAAAGCGTTACATTTCACGAAATGACCATACCTAACCATTATTTATGGCTCTATCACGACAAAACTTTATTGTATATGTCAAAGTAAGACATTTGAATATTTTTATACAACATTTTAGCTATAGGTAATGTTTTTGTGTGATGTAACAAGCAATGTTTAGTTGATTTTTAGATTGACTTTGGTGTTATCGTGCGCGATGAAATTCGAAGCGTATCCTCACGATACGCAGATCTGCAGCATGATGATAGAAAGTTGTAAGATAAAGCAACTTGGATACTGTATGAACTTTTAATAAAGAAGAATTTGATTTTAGTATCACACACTGATCACGACTTGGTTTTTATTTGGAATATGACGGATCCTTTGGTGGTAAATCCCGAAATCGAATTACCCCAGCTAGATATTTCCAACAACTATACAACTGATTGTACCATTGAATATTCGACTGGTAAAGGCACTTTCATAACTTTTTATATTTTTGCTAATCGAAACACACTTTAGGTAATTTTACATGTCTCGCTGTGGTTTTTAATTTGAAGCGCAGGTTGGGATACCACTTGTTCCATACATACATCCCATCAGCTCTTATTGTTGTTATGTCCTGGATATCATTCTGGATCAAGCCTGAAGCGATTCCAGCCCGTGTAACCCTGGGCGTTACATCTTTGCTCACTTTAGGTAAGGATATCTCAGAAAAAAAAACAGCATTACATTGTTTTGTTACAGCTACTCAAAATACTCAGTCACAACAATCACTACCTCCAGTTTCGTATGTGAAAGCGATCGATGTTTGGATGTCAAGTTGTTCTGTTTTTGTATTTATGTCGCTGATGGAATTCGCCGTGGTAAATAATTATATGGGCCCCATAGCTACTAAAGCAATGAAAGGCTACTCGGATGAGGATATATCGGACTTGAACGATTATAGAGTACGGGTGTCTATTTATTTATTGTAAATATAAATATAAATCGGCACATTTTCTAGGGTATTGAAAGGAACAGGTACAGCACGGGTAGTCAACCTCAATATCCTACGTTCTGCAATGGAAGAAGTATAGCCTTGTGCATCGATCAGTTTTCTCGGTTTTTCTTTCCATTCTCGTTTTTAATTTTAAATGTCGTTTACTGGTCAACATTTCTCTGACCTATCGTCCTTTTATATGCTTAAGCACAATGAGCGTCTCGTGTTGAATCACTCTGTAATGTAACTCAGTTGTATAAGAATTCGAATAAAGAAATAACTTAATTATATATTTTTTTTTATTACGCACTCCAGAAAATAAATACAATGGAGCACAAAATTATTGTTTTTATATTAAAATAATTCAATCCATAATAGATAAATTATAGGCATGTTAAATTTAATAATACTCTAAATTCTGTAAATAGGCAGTATACTAAATATTATATTATGAAGAACTGGGGTTTAGCTATAATGAGAATATATTGATTATCGGACAGATTAACTTGTAGGCATAACACCTGCATTCGATGTAATGACATTGCAATTATTCAACCAGCAACCTTATGTGCATTTTAAAGTTTAGGGAACAAATGTTGCGGAGTCAGGTAAAGGTATCGATTTTTTAAAAAATACACAAAAGCTATAAAAAGAACGATGAAACAAAAAGTAAATCAATAAATATGCAATTATAAATGACTATATAAACAAAAGCATTTAAAGAAAATTTGTATTTTTTTCAAGACGAAATGTGCACCCTCCGCAGTGCCTGTAAGGGATAAATGCAAGTTCGGTTGGGGAACGAGTTGTCCATAAATTCTCTGCTGCAACTGCAGCGATCGTTACAACTGCTCGTATCAGACAAATACGATGTTGCCACTTCGAAATCATAATCCCAGTTGGTTATTTATTATGAAGAGAATATGGGAGGAATAAACTGGTGGTGGACAAAATAAAAGTACTTGAACTTTTCAATGTTGATATATTCTAAAACTATATGGAATTAGATTGTAGAATGCGACCTTACATATTTATTGTATCCCCCTTTCTTGAGTTATAACTCATCAAACAGTCTCTCTGGGCTTTGATAAAAGCCAGTATTTCAGACTGACAGATCAGTCGTACCATAGTTTATGATATGAATGGTTATCGTGAATGGTTATCTGCATTCACTGTTGTTTCTTAGCTTCAATCTACTGAAGTGTTCGTTTAGGAGACAGTGTCCGGTTAAGAACACATAACAACCCCAAGATTGTTCTTCTAAAATCAAGGAAAATATTTGAAGTAAGTTCGTAAGTTCTGAGAAATTTCTTCGAGTGCCTTAGACCGTTGGAGGATTCCCATTCGAGGTTATGGATGGAGTTTTCCAGGTTTTTGAGTTCCGTTTAAGTTGGTTTCCCCTCGAGAATAGAACGGTTCTGGTCCCGTTTGTGGAGTGTTCGCTCCTTTTCTAGCTAGATTGATTGCTTTTTCATTGCCTTCTATCACTTGGCGGGCTGCTATCACTTACTCTAGGTGCCAACCTAGAGTAAGGAGACTTTATTTTTTGCCTAAATTATTTAGCTTTTCTAGGCTCTTTTTGACCAACTTGGAATTGATGGTTACTGAGTTGATCGCTTTTAATGCTGCTTGACTATCGGATAAGATGGCTATTTCTTGTGTCCGATAGTTTCTATCTAAGATAAGTTGTACGCATATTTCGACAGCGTAGATTTTTGGCTGAAGGGCAGATGTAGGTGCCTATTGGTTAGTAGTATTTAGTTTTCGACCCAAATACTCCTATCTCTGTCCCCGCTTTGATTTTGGAAGCATCAGTATACCACGTTGCTGAGCAAACCTTTTTCTCTCCTTCAATCCTTTTTATTGCTCAATACTACATGAAATTATAATTATGTATGTATAGTACTTTTCGAGGAGCTTTGAAACGCGAAGAAAGTGGTGCAGTGATGGCAAAAAGCGAGCAAACGGCAACAGGGGGCGCGTGAGGGCGCGCGGCGTGTCTAGTGTGCGCCGCACATGGACCAGCGCCCGGCCAACCCCCGCAGCAGCCTTGGCGGCCGCAGCGATATAAATATCGTGGCGTCGGCAGCGCCGTCCCGACGGCCGCGTCGCGTCGCACCAGCCCAGCAGCCGAGGCGCCGCCGCCGCGGATTCTGCAGTTCGCCGTGGCCGTGGCGTGTTCTCTGGCGAGTGGCAGAGGCCGAGCCCTGAGTCCGCCGTCGTAGCCGTGAGTGTCCGTCGCCGTCGGCCCGATGGGAGCCGCGGCGCGTCCCCCGTGACCGTGCGTGAGTGACCTGAGGAATGTTCATCCCCGACACGCTGCGCAGCTGCATGGTGGAGCCCGATGTGTCGTCGTACCTGCAGACGCCGTCCTCGGGACAGGTGCCTACCCGCTGCTACCTACCCCCTTCCCCCGCGCCGCCATGCGTGATATGTAATTAACATGATTAACATGAGTGTTATTCTGTTCTGTACTGCGTTCGCTGTCTGGCCCGGGGAGCAGCTGGGGGCTGAGGCCGCGGTTGGGGCGTCGCCTCAGCCGTCGCCGTCGCTCACCCCCGTGCTCGGACCGCTAACCTCGATGTTGACATGTTTGAATTAATGTTCATGACTGCTCTGTTTCTGTCTCATGTCTGTGTTTCATCTAATGCACCGTCTTATATACTAGACGTACTTTGTACTTCTTGGTTTTGATGTTCAGTTCGTGTATTGACTGTGTGTTTTGCTACTCGCTGACATGCTAAGCCTTTTCGTATATTTTGCTCGTCCACCTCAAATACATCTCACCAACTAACCGACTAATCGAACCGAATCGGATTCAATTTCCTCGCTTTAAACAATAATACAATTCCAAACAAAAGCGTTAATAATGCTTGTTTCTTTTCTAATACATTTAGCTAATACGATTTAAAGACCAATAAGAAATAATTGGACGGGTGCCTGCTAAAATGACGTTCTGAAATGACGATCCACTCATGTATATTTCTCGATTCTAAACATCAACACATATGCACGTGTTTCTCACTAATGTAACCATCGTTACCTGTAATGGATCAAGCTTTAGACCAAAAGACGCATTATTTTTCATAAAGTAGATAACTAAGGTGAATGTATTTATGTCTATCGTCGCTTGGTCACGTAAGAAATTTACATGCAAAAACAATACTGAATAACGCTAGTCGAATGCGAATACATCCATGGAAATACATACAGACATATCGACTTTACTCCTTTGTAATATTATACAAACTATTTCAGACGATAACATATAAACAAATCTTTATAGTACAAAAACTTTTGATCGTCGGGTATTTCTGTTTAAGTGCAATCGAGTATAGTCAATATAAAAAATGCTGTATCGCGACCCTATCAAAATTTACTCAGATATTGGAGATATTTAGCAAGATTTTATAATGATACCTATCTACAATATAATATGTTAAAGAACGCACACCAGCTTAGAATCCCATAGAATCTGATGACTATTTATAACACGCTATTTATAGTCGCGAGCGAGTAACGGCAAAATGACATAGCAAAGAGAGTTCATCTCGTCGGAAAATTGTAAGATATTTTTTTAAGAACAGGAAAATGTCCCCATACGAACTCAGACGACCAAAGTCAGATCCGATATTTCGCGTTTCCACTTACCAAAATAGAACCAACCATCTACTGTCTACGCAACAATTTCAGTTTCCTTTCTTTTTAGTAGCATTTTGAAACTGTAGTCTATGTTTTTCATTTTCGAGTTTAGACGACGTTGTTATTTTGAAAGACTGTAATTTTGCCACGTACACTGGCCGCTTGGAGCTCAGTTTTTATGACTGTAATCCTAACCAAACGCGCCACCTGGCTATTAAACAATTCAAAGTAACATTAATGTTGTTGAAAGTAAAATAATTTCGGATTTCCATTGTTTTTATTTATTTTGTATACACAACGTTTCGGTCGGAAGTATCACTGACACAGGAGTGAACTAATCTAAATCCTGAAACTATTCAGCTTAATATACTAGAGCCAAGAATTCACTCGTGAAGAAGTTGGCTGCAGTCAAGCATGAGGATGTCCACTCGAATAGCTGCTTTACATGTAAAAAGCGAGTAACCATTCTGAAGCATATAGGTTGTAATATTACTTAGTTCATAATTCAGAAATTTTTGGTCCCTGCATATAGTGATTGCTCGATGATATAATGTTTTAACTATTTATACCTCTTTTGGTTGCTTCAGAATGGTTCGACTGAGAATTTAAATATTGTCCCATAAGTATGTGTGAGTTTTCTATATACAGCAGTGCTAATGAATCCATCGCTTAGGAAGCTCGGGTTTTCCACAAACAACACCATTGGAAAAAGCGGAAGTTTAAAGAAGCCGTATTCATATCTAGCAATAATAAAATCTTTAACAATCCATGTATGGAAATTTTAACAATATAGCCACCACTCATAAAACGCTCCAATGCAGATATTCTCAGTGGACAACCTCAAGCTTGACTGCACCCAACTTCTTCACGGGTGGATGCTCGGCTCTAGCTCTAGCTCGGAATAAGCATAAGTATTATCAGGATTTAGATTAGTTAACACTTGATAACGGTCTGTGACACTTCTGATCGAAACGTTGTGTAAGCAAAGTAAATAAAGACAATGGAAGTCCGAAATTCTTTTAGTTTCAATACTGAATTATTGTACATTAACAGTAACATTAATTTTGTTTCCAAATGCAAAACAGCAACGTGATGTTTAGATTTACATTTTGTTCATTTCTTTCTAGATGTCGATGCTTGATTAATAATGCTTTTAAGTCCGGATTAGTTGATTATAGGTGTTTCGATGGCATTATTTTTTATAGGACGAGTTCCACCCCTTTATCGAAGCGCTTCTACCCTTTGTTAAGTCCTTTTCCTACACATGGTTTAATTTGCAAGCGGCCAAACGGAAATACTACAAAAAGCACGAAAAAAGAATGTCACTGGAAGAAGAACGACAATGCAAGGAGGCGCTTCAGGTAATGTTGAATACACAATTTTCAATGAAACAAAACTGAAACCGTACATTAATTTTCCCGTCAAAAATCGCGCTGGCACAAGACCCGCGTGGTACCACACTAAACATTTTACGAGCAGGTGTTCTTAGCCTCAGAATGCTTCCTTCCTTGGCAAGGATTTTTTTTGGCACAGACAAAACCCATTTGTTTATATCAACAGGCGTCTGCAATATGTGACGAATTGACTCTTAACATTCTTATATCCAGCTCAAAATTATTTTCATTCGAAAACGATTCAGACAACAAATGCAACCCTTTGTGATTCAGCCCAGTCCGAGGCTGTTTCATTTTCGTCTATTTCGGGCTTTGATACGTACAAGAGACATTGACATTGCGCACAAAGGTAAAAAAGAATCGACCAAGAAACGAGGGATCTGTTAAAAATAAACGCGTCAATCATGACTTTTTATCAGGAAATGTAAAATTTACTTTTTTTTGGAAACTCGTTTTTAAAAAAACAAAACAATTGGGACTTTTGACTGAGGAGATTAAGCTATAATGACAATATCGTACGAAAGCGTAGAGCTGCCATATCTACACTGAAAAATATTTTTAGCAAAATGTACACTTTTTCTGTAAATTTACGCTTGTTATGGAAATTTACAATTTTTCTGTAAATTTACAGAATTTTTTTTACAATTTTTATTTACAGAAATTTATAATTTTTCTGTAAATTTATAGAAAAATTGTAAATTTACAGAAAAAGTGTAAATTTTAAACTTTTTCTGAAAATTTACAATTTTTATTTACAGAAATTTACAAATTTTCTGAAAAGAGTAAATTTTCAGAAAAAGCGTTAACAGTTCAAAAAAAATTAACAATTTTTCTGTAAATTTACAGATTTTTTTACAATTTTTATTAACAGAAATTTTCAATTTTTCTGTTACTTTACAGAAAAATTGTAAATTTCCAGAAAAAGTGTAAATTTTCAGAAAAAGCGTAAATTTACAGAAAAATTGTAAATTTCCAGAAAAAGTGTAAAATTTACACTTTTTCTGTAAATTTACGCTTTTTCTAAAAATTTACATTTTTTCTGAAAATTTACAGAATTTTTTTTACAATTTTTATTTACAGAAATTTACAACTTTTCTGTCAATTTACAGAAAAAGTGTAAATTTTCAGAAAGAGCGCAAATTTACAGAAAAAGTGTAAATTTACAAAAAATGTCAACGTTGGTATGGCAGCTCTACGCTTTCGTAACATCGTATTAGAAGAAATCGTATTTTTTATTATGATTAAAAAAGGTTTTAATTTTACTGAACTTTATTGAAAATACGATTGCACAGCCAGATTTTGTTGAAAAACATATCCGGTGTCAAAAACGTTAGCTTAGAAGTAATTTAAATAAAACATGTCCGTGGTGTTTATTGTTGCAGAACGAAAAGGCGGAAGTTAAGCAAAAATGGGCGTCCCGATTACTGGGAAAGTTACGAAAGGATATTACGCAGGAGTGCCGCGAAGATTTCGTTTTAAGTATAACAGGAAAGCGACCGGCAGTTTGCGTGCTGTCCAACCCCGATCAAAAGGGCAAAATGCGCCGCATCGACTGTTTGAGACAAGCAGATAAAGTGTGGCGGCTCGATCTCGTAATGGTGATACTGTTCAAGGCCATCCCTCTGGAAAGTACGGACGGTGAACGGCTGGAAAAAAACCCGGACTGTTCACAACCGGGCCTGTGCGTCAATCCATATCATATAAACGTCTCCGTAAGAGAATTGGACCTTTATTTGGCCAACTTCATCAACAGTCACGGTGAGTTTCAGTCACGAGATTTATTAATCATCATATCACAGAAATTGGACGGCCGTTTAATAACTAGATGGTTTTTCTACGAATTACACCGTTACAATGAAAGTGGAAGTGTTTTGTTTATACGCGCACGATTTTTTTTGAAAATATGCCAATTTTAAATAATCAAACAACTATTATTTAATTCCCACTGAATCTGCCAACTATATCGTAAACTAGATAATCTTTCGTAAATTGTTTTTGTTTATTTCTTAATTGATATTTTGTCTAAGTAAATATAAATATAGTTATTTTTACTAATGACGAACGAAAAAATTGACCACCTACACTAATGAGATTTCTGTTTCACTCTAAAAATAGATTTTGAAAAATCACCATTTTCCTGGACTGAGTTAAGAAAATGTATAGCTGCTTCTTCCGAAGCTTTAAACGGGTTCTATGATGAAACCATCTAATTAGCTCAAAACACCATTACTGCTTTTCTCTTTCGATATTTTTATATACCAATATAAAGTCTATAATTAGAGCACCTTATATTAACCAGTCAAAGTAAAGTAGAACTAAAAATATACAAAAGAATATCACATTAAAACCAGCGGTTATTTTTAACCCACCAGGACTGTAAATAAAATTGGTATAGCGCGAAATTCAAAACTTTCAGCAAGAAAACTATTCGCCATCCTTGGTTAAATAAATTTTCTTTTCAGAAATTTTAAGTGGAGTGTGCTATAACAATAACAACAAGAAAGAGGATGATAGGAAAAATAAAGGTAAGCTATCGTTAATAGGGTACTTAAATGTGATAAGTACTGAATGTGAAGAATGGATTTACTTTTGTCAAAAAAACTCGGACTATCGAACTGTGAGTTACCGTTTCGATTATTTCGATTCCGATAAGTAGATTACGTCACTCTGGAAACGATTCGAACAGTTTTATGATCATAATCTAAAAGGAGCCTCTATTTTGCAGTGACAGGGTATACTCACAATCCCTACAACGGTGTTATATGTAACGACATAATATTAGCGACAGGAGTATTTTCATCAAAGGAACTATGGAAGTTGTCCAAATGTAATTTTTGTACACCTTCCTGATATATTCGGCATTAATCCTGTTTACTTTTAGCCTCTATCTTACACGAATTATCGGATCCTCAGCCTAATATGAACAGCGTTAAATTGGAGCACCCAGCGTACTACTGTAACAACTATCCGGAACAGCCAGTGGTACCCGACAGATCTTCGTCTGTCGACACTATGGTTGTTTCTAATACTTACTGTAAGTAAGAAATGCCTTATTACATAATTTAAAGTTAAGTCAATCTATTTTTAAGACCTTGTCGCAATTTTATACTGAAGCTGTTTTTCGTACAACGATTCTCCAGGAACAAGGAGATCCAAAAGCATCATATTTTATTTGATATTGATTTTCAGATAAAACGTCTCACAGAGACAGCAACGTGTTAAGTAGACAAAAAATTAGTTAGCTACACTTCCGTTTTAAATTTCTTTCTAGTTACATTGTAGGACTGTTTCCTGAAACCTTATAATATTTTTTTTTTCATCGTCTTATGTGTTATAAACATATCTGACCTAGATTTAGTCTATTTTGGTCTCAAGGCTTTTTTTAAGAAATGAAGATTTCAGTTCGATAGAAAATATACGATTTTAATGAAAACAATTGCAGCCATGCCACAAAACACCACGATAGTGTCTTCCAGTTCTCAAGCGAGCCCGAATGCTTTATATTATCAACACAGTCCAGAGGTCCAACACCATCAGCATCAAAATCCAGTAAAATATCCAGAAAATGGCCACGACACCTTGTCAGATTTCGTTACTTTTGTTTGTCAGGAAACGGATAACAACCAGAACGCACAAGTAAGCAAACTCATTTTAGAAAATAGCTGGATGATCAAACTTTGCTAGCATGGTAAAGATTGATCACCTTAAGTCAACCTATACAGGGTCCGGCAAAAGTGCGTCGATCGGGCATCTGTAGCTCCCTAGTATAAAAAATTTGGTAATTTTGTTTAAGTGCAAACCTAAAGTATGTACTAGAATGTACTTCAGGAAAATATTTTAACTTCTACAGGGTGGCTCAAGAAAGTGTGAGTGGATCAAGATGATTTTTTTTAAATGTAACACCCTGTATATTATTACATTTTTTGCTTCCTTTCAGATCACTTTACATCATCCTAAGATATTAGTAAATATATTTAGACAGTTTCAGAGATATTAATAAATAAATCTATATATATAAATCTGACTGTCCTGACTGATACTGACTCATCAACGCCCAGACCAAACCCTTGACCCTAGAAAGCTGAAATTTTGCACAGGGATTCCTTTTATGATGTTTACGTAAGATAAGAAAGGATTTTTAAAAATTCATCCCCTAAGGGGGTAAAAAGGGGGGTGGAATATTACAATATTTTTTATTTAAAAACGGTCAAGTTTCCGAAAAACGCTGAAACACGTATATTTTATTTTCTTTTTTACATATTTTCAGATTTTTAAAAATGTATACAGGGTGTTTCGAAAAATCTGGTCATTGATTAATCACGATCCTGCTTAAAGCGCTTGACGTAAAAAGCTGATTTTTGGAAAACGGATTGACTTTAGGGTGTAGAGGTTCGATAAGAAGGGATTTTTCGAAACTCGAATTCTAAGGGGGTGAAACCGCCCCTCAAATATTAGAATATTTTTATTTAAAAAACGGTCAAGTTTCCGAAAAAACGCTTAAACACGTATATTTTTATTTTCTTTTTTACATATTTTAAGATTTTTAAAATGTATACAGGGTGTTTCGAAAAATCTGGTCATTGATTAATCACGATCCTGCTTAAAGCGCTTGACGTAAAAAGCTGATTTTTGGAAAACGGATTGACTTTAGGGTGTAGAGGTTCGATAAGAAGGATTTTTTCGAAACTCGAATTTAAGGGGGTGAAACCGCCCCTCAAATATTAGAATATTTTTTATTTAAAAAACGGTCAAGTTTCCGAAAAAACGCTTGAACACGTATATTTTATTTTCTTTTTTACATATTTTAAGATTTTTAAAAATGTATACAGGGTGTTTCGAAAAATCTGGTCATTGATTAATCACGATCCTGCTTAAAAGCGCTTGACGTAAAAAGCTGATTTTTGGAAAACGGATTGACTTTAGGGTGTAGAGGTTCGATAAGAAGGGATTTTTCGAAACTCGAATTCTAAGGGGGTGAAACCGCCCCTCAAATATTAGAATATTTTTATTTAAAAACGGTCAAGTTTCCGAAAAAACGCTTAAACACGTATATTTTATTTTCTTTTTTACATATTTTAAGATTTTTTAAAATGTATACAGGGTGTTTCGGAAAATCTGGTCATTGATTAATCACGATCCTGCTTAAAGCGCTTGACGTAAAAGCTGATTTTTGGAAAACGGATTGACTTTAGGGTGTAGAGGTTCGATAAGAAGGATTTTTCGAAACTCGAATTCTAAGGGGGTGAAACCGCCCTCAAATATTAGAATATTTTTATTTAAAAACGGTCAAGTTTCCGAAAAAACGCTTAAACACGTATATTTTATTTTCTTTTTTTACATATTTTAAAGATTTTTAAAAAATGTATACAGGGTGTTTCGAAAAATCTGGTCATTGATTAATCACGATCCTGCTTAAAGCGCTTGACATAAAAAGCTGATTTTTGGAAAATGGATTGACATTAGGGTGTAGAGGTTCGATAAGAAGGGATTTTTCGAAACTCGAATTCTAAGGGGTGAAACCGCCCCTCAAATATTAGAATATTTTTTATTTAAAAAACGTTCGAGTTTCCGAAAAAAACGCTTAAACACGTATATTTTATTTTCTTTTTTTACATATTTTCAGATTTTTTAAAAATGTATACAGGGTGTTTCGAAAAATTGATTAATTGGTCATTGATTAATCACGATCCTGCTTAAAGCGCTTGACGTAAAAAGCTGATTTTTGGAAAACGGATTGACTTTAGGGTGTAGAGGTTCGATAAGAAGGGATTTTTCGAAACTCGAATTCTAAGGGGGTGAAACCACCCCTCAAATATTAGAATATTTTTTATTTAAAAACCGGTGAGTTTTTCGGAAAAACTCTTAAACATGTATATTTTATTTTGTTGTTTTACATATTTTAAGGTTTTTTAAAAATTTATACAGGGTGTTTCATAAAATATAACCATTGAGTAATCACGATTCTACTTAAACTGCTTGACGTTTAAAGCTGATTTTTGGCAAACGGATTGACTGGGGGGTGTAGAGGTTCGATAAAGAGGGGGTTTTCGAATTTCAAATTCCAAGCGGGTGAAAACGACCCACAAATATTACAATATTTGTTTTTTAAATACGGCGAGCCTTTCGGGAAAACACTTGGACACGCATAATTGATTTTGTTTTTTACATATTTTTGAACTTTTTAAAAAATCATACAGGGTGTTCCAAAAAGTTGGGTAATTGATTAATCACGATTCTGCTTAAACTGCTTGACGTAAAAAGCTTATTTTTGGCAAACGGATTTTTCGAAAGTCAAATTCCAACGAGATGAAACTACCCCTCAAACATTATACCAAGTTATATAATAATATCGCCATATTGTTTTTTCTCATGCTGACATAAATGTAAGAAAATTTTATCTTAGTTTGTATGTTAATGGAAATTCTTGCTTTGCTTGATCATCACCATTACAAATGATTAATCCGACGCGAACGAAGTCGCGGGTACACACTAGTAAAATATATATTTTCAGTCTTTCTTAAAAAAATTATTAAAACCACAAGAACTGTCCTGAAATCAAAACTATATTAGATATTTACTTTAGATGGTCTGGACTTACTTTGCTCTAAATATCGTAATCTTAAATCATACAGGGTGCTCAAAATACTACGCCAAACTTTTTAAAATATAAAATAATTTTTCTTCGTTTTTTTGAATGGAACACCCTGTATATTAATCTTTTAATAGATGGAGAATTAAAAAATTTTCATTTTTTGTGTTTAGAGTATATCAGCATTTTTAACGGTTTCGCAGATACTCGCGGTATTATTTCACATGGCTCTTTCAACGGTAGAATACGAGAATCATTGGGTGGCTTTAATAAAAATAACATATATATATATTGTGGAAAACGCCATATGAAATATAAAACCGCGAATATCTGTTAAAAATTTTGAAATACTCTAAAGGCAAAAAATTTTCATTATTCCATTCTCCATCTATTAAAAGAATAATATACAGAGTGTTCTACTTAAAAAAACGCAGAAAAAATATTTTATATTCTAGATAATTTGGCGTAGAATTTTGAACACCCTGTATGATTTAAGATTACATTATTGATAGCAAAGTAAGTACGAACCATCTAAACAGGACACTTCTTGTATTTGTAATAATTTTTGAAGGAAAGTTGAAAAATATATATTTTTTATTTTATTTTATTAATATCTCTGAAATTATCGAAATATATTTACTCATATCTTAGAATTATGTACAGTGATCTGAAGTCTGAAAGGAAGCCAAAAACGCAATAATATACAGGGAGTTCCAAAATAATCATTCCGATCCACTCTCACTTTTTTGAGCCACCCAGTAGAAGTTAAAATATTTTCCTGAAATACATCCTAGTACATAATTTACGTTTGCACTTAAAACAAAATACCCAAGTTTTTTATTCTAGGGGCTACAGATGCTCGATCGACGCACTTTTGTCGGACCCTGTATAAAGGAGGAAAACTGGAGTATATAGCAACAACGAATTCTTTTCGATTTTAGATGCAATCGAGCCTCTCGAGAAGTCCTAAACCGCAATATTTCCCATCTACGATGCTCCCACCTCCACCGTTGCCTCCTATGGCCAGGCCTGTACCAATAATTCGATCGACAGGGGAAGTTTCCATGGGCAGTACAAATTCACCACCTCCAAGCATAACACCCCCTTGCAACGAATCATCGCCAGGCGACGATGTAAGAAAACTACCTTTCAATAAACGTACACCAGAAATTCAAAGGACAAAAGAATCAATCAATTTAAAACAAAACTACTAAAAGTAGTTTAATATAATTTCTCTTACACAATACGTTTTGAATTCTTGTTGTACGCTGTCGAATTATTAGAAGTGAATGACAAGTAAAGTAATTGGAACCCCAAGGTCCCCGAAATCAACTCGTCGCCCCCTCTGAGTCCGGGAAGCCACGAGAGACGGAAGTCGCCGATCCAGAGGAACTCCGTACCCACCAGTGGACCATACTCGCCAGGCCGGGACTACACGTCCTTCAACCATTTCCACGGGCAGCCAGGACATGTTGGTAGTTAGTATTTGTAGCACCTAGAGCCCAATGTTACCACCTCTTTCTTTTCCAGCTTTTCAGCTATCCCAGTATGGGCCCGATGTCTGGCGTTATCAGTCCTACCAACCTCAGTATGTACTCGCCCAACGTGAATACGTCGAGAGGTACGATTGTTAGCAGCGTTGCCAGAGATTAAGATTGTACTTAGACCATAAAAGGAAATTATTACTGAATTTTAATTAAAAATATTATTATAAATTGGTAAATAAGGGGGCCTCTAATAATTTCGTGAGGGTATCAGGATGGCCAAACCAAACCAAACATTTTGCGCTGGATGTATACTGTGATCAGGGATGTGACTTATTTCAAATACATGTATTACTTAATTAGTTATTTACGATTTATTACAAGTATTACTTATTAATTATTATTTAAGTAAATACAGATATAGTAAGATACAAAGTACGTATATTTGAAATACTTTTTTAATTTCATCTTGTATCTTCTATTTAAATACATTTTTTTAGTATCTTAGTATTTTATAAATACTTAGTTTACTAAAATACTTTTACTAATTATTACATATGCATATTTTTTACTTTACGACATTCACTCATAATATGGACTAAATATAATATCCGTATTAGGTATGATGAAATATCCGTAGATGAATAATCTTGTCCTGACTGAAACACGTAAAATTAATCGGTATGAAAAACAAAAATTGGACACTTTAAACAACAATGGGGAATTTTTAAAAAGAAAGACAAAAGACCAATCTTCTTACTGTTTTAGAAAAGACACGATTCTTGTTGATAATTATTATTAAGTAATAAGCTAAATAACTTTAAAAATAAAAATAAATGTTTTCTTTCAAAAGTATTTTATCTTAATAAAAGTATTTATAAAATACGTATTTTATATCTAATATTTCAAATACCTTTTCTACAAGTATTTTGTAACTGATATTACAAATACTTTGCTTAGAAGTATTTTGTATGATAGTAAGACCCATGATTATCTATGGAGCAGTAGCTTGGTACACAAAACTATAGAGCAACGTACAGCAAGGCAAAATCTGTGCAAAGTACAGAGACTGGCATTCATATGCATCATAGGTGCCAACGCATTTATAATAAAAATACAAATTTTGTAAGATCTCACTTGAGATTAGGGGAGGGACAAGTCTCACTAGAGGAAGAGTCAAAGAACCCTCAAAAACGCTTCACGTAATTAATTGAGGCCCCTTAACCTGTATAATCCTCTGGTGCAATTTTAGAAGCTCTAGCAACGCTGGTCGTAAATTGACCACACGAGCACGACACAACGTGGACATAAAGAGGATGTCTTGATTACAGGCACCACGCGTTCTAGCAACATCTCGAGGTGGACGACGACGCCGCTCTTCACCCTGGACCAGGAGGACTTCATGATAGCGCCGAGCTCAGAGCAGAGCGCCATTATCCTGATGGAGGAGGCCGGATCCGGAGGAGCTCCGGAGCACAGCGGCCAGTGTTGCACCGGAGCCACCCTCATGTGTGACGCGGATCGATTCTTCCAGGCAGGGGACGGCTTGGACGGCAACCAGTCGGCCGGGAATGGCCGGGAAACGGTTGATCAGATGCCTCAAACACCCAAGTCGCCCTAGCGTTGAGTTCCACAACGAACAAGAACTGCTTTTCGCAGACAAATCCGCCAGTTTATGTGTGACGTTTCGTTGAATTCTCATTAATTTCCGCGCGGAATTCGGTGCGCAAAATCTCCCGCTATGTCAGATTGATGCTGCCCTGACCTCACGCCTAATTAAATTTAACATCAACCTAACATTTTTTAGAGATTGTAAACTGGTAGCGTCAATCAGCATCGCGCGAGACATGACATAGCTGCTCAAATAGTGTAGAGAAATTTAGGTTAGGTAAAAATGTATGTATGTATACTTTAGGTTGATCACCGGTGCCAATTGGGCCGAGCGATTCTGTATTTGAGGGACCATTCGATCGTCTTCGACACAGGCGTTTCGAGTGACTCGTCCTCAAATTCGGCGTCGCAGTAACTCGGTGAATTTTTTAGTCTACTGCGCCCAAATCTAACCCCCTACGACATAAAAGTTCGTCTTATTTTTCGGCGTTTTAAGCGGTCTTTCAAAAAGACCGCGCTATTATAGAATCACGACGGTCTAGGATTACGTAATTTTTCGATAAAGTACTACAAGTGACCTTAAAGTTTACGAATGAAAAGACTTTTTTGCCTGATGTTTTACGGCTACTTTTTTAATAGGTTTGACGTTGTATATATACATGATCTAGTCGACTTATATTGTATATACACTTTATTATAGAGCACGTTTATTTAGTGCTTTAATAAAATTTATAAAAAAGCTCTTTTTAAATTAAATATTTCGACGGAACTAGGTGTAGTTCAAAATCAGTTATGTGATAATTATATTTGTCTTTCCCTCTTAGTCAAATTAACCCGTATTAAGCAATATTTCGAGAACAATAATATAATTGGAAACAGCTAACAGTCTTAGTGAAAACCCTGGTAAAACTTTTCAAATGCTTAATTTCACGAATCGTCGCTTGAAATAAGACATACGACACGGACAAGAAATAGTTATTGAGAGGGAAGAGAATGTTAAAAACGCAGGGGGTGGTATTTTGGAGCGCGTGCAATTCCGTTCCTATTGGGTAGAATATCCAGAGTTGCTTGTCTTCCACACTACGAAGAAACAGGGCTTGTTGCGAGAACAAGCTGAGCTGGATCCGTGCCTTAGAATAACAATAAATAATAATATTGTTACCGTAGCTTATAGATATTTCGTAGCTATTGAAAAAAGCTTGCTCACTCAACTTTTTCCAGCTCATACAATTTTAGCACCTTACGTCCCTCACGAATTTTTTATCTTACCAAATAAAAAAATATTTTTTTTACCTAATTTTTTTTCTTTACGTAATATATTACCGGAGTTTTCAGATGCTGCATCGTTTTCGTTCATTTTTATAACGAATATGTAAATTAGACCGTTATGAGCTTTCACTTCAACGGTAAAAAAAGTAAATGAAAATAATTAATTAATAATTATAGTTGACGGTGAGTTTCAGTAGCTAAGTGAGATAAACAATTACGTGATGGTGGATGCAATAGATTAGTGGCCATATCGTGGCATTTTTAGGTACCTTATTAGACATTTGCGTGCGATCAAATATTACTTATAAGAAAGAATTACGCGCCATATAATGGGGCATATTCTTTGAAACGCTTAACGCAAAATAAAATTATTCCGTTCGAAAAATCAATACCCTTGCAGTTTTCCCACTACAGGAAAGTTAATTATTAAGAATGTACATTGTTTGAAAGGTCACTTTATAGATATATACTTTACCAGGTCCAAAAAAAAAAGAATTTTGTGACTAGCGTTAAACAATAAGATCGTAGAAAATTCTTTTTTAACGAAACAAGATATTTTTAATATTTCCAGGTCAGAAATGTAATATCTCCAGGTCAAAAGTGCAACGAAAAAGAATTTCCTACGTCGTTGTGAAGAATATTTGATCGCGCTATTAACGTAGCAGAGTAATCCTGACTGATATTCCTACTCCCTCCGCTAAAATCGACTAACAAAATGGATGCTCTGCCTTTATTTAATCACTTTGCCCTTTTAATACCCATCTTCGGCTAATAATAAAGCGTAGTTAACGCTTTCTAACTTTGTGTTGAGTAAAATTTTATTCATCTTTTGCTCGTTGACATTTTCGATGCCGCAGATCTTTTCGCAGATGCGTATAGAGAATAATATATTATATGAGCTGTTATTTTTGAAAGTGGTAATAAGTAATAAGTCCAATTTAAAAAAAAATAGTTATTGGTAGTTTCATTCTTTCCATATTTATTAACCATACATTCAATGGAGTACGATTTTTTATTATAAGCGAACAAAAGAATTTTGCTAATTTTAATGCTAATTTTAAAAGGCAAATTAGTTTAAAATATCATTTTTTTTATTTAAAGATCCTAACGACGTAATTTTCATTTTTAGATTTTAATATAACTGAAATTAATTTTAATAAACTTGGTTCGTGTATTTAAATGTCTCCATTTTAATTATTACTTTTTACATAAAAAAAACATTTCAGTAAAGCTAATGTCTATAAAAACATGGACTTAAATTTACTCCTGTTTTTATTTATTGTATTATGTTATTTTTGAAAGTGGTATAAGGCCATTTGGAGTTAAAAAAATCGTTTATTTTTGTAAGAATTGTAAAAGATTTTATTTCATTATAAAATTTAAAAGATGTAGAGTGTTAATAACAACTCGAAAATCTTCAACTGTTAACAATAACTCGAAAAAATTAAGGTTTACGAATATTTTTAAATTAATTCAAATGCAAAACCTTAAATATCTCGATCAATGGAAAAGTGGGCTTACCTATATCTTTTTCAAAAATAACAGCTCATATCGGAAACTGAATAAAATAAAATAAAATATAAACGAGCAACAGTTGGAACAGAATAACGCCAATTAATGTCAAGTTAATAGATCTAAATGTATTCTTTCCGTAATGCTTTGGCTAACACGGGTTCAGTTCGAAAAATCATGGAATTGAACAAAGTGGAGTAATATTTTCGCAATTTTTCAGGACAATACCTTCAGTTAAATTATTTGTTATACAGAGTTAGTTTTGTACTACTGTATATATTCGACGATATTATTTATATTAGTATTTAGATGGTTACGTTCTTCTTATGTTGTACAAATCGTTTGATATCATTATTACTTAACATTATATTAATTTGTTGATTTAGTTTTTAGGTAATTACTTAATTAAGATGAAACGAGGCAATTCTGATCGATCTATTGACTTGGGAGAATAAACGTTAAATTTTCATGATTATTATAATTATTATGTAAATAATTAACAAAAAAAAAAATAAGTCTATACACTTATAGAATCGGGTGATATTTAACCAGTGCCATTGATATTGTTGATTCAATTGTTGGACGTATTAACTACGTCAAGTAGCAGTTATTATTATTATTATAATTAGTAGGCTTGTAAGAAGCAATTTTTCTTTAAATTCTATAAATAAATCAGAGGGTTTATTTGATAATAAATCGTGTTTTATTTTGAATCCCTCGAACTATGTTATTAAAAAAAAACTTAGAAATGATACAGGATGATGCAACACATATTGGTTTAAAGTGTATTTACCAAACCTATAGAATTGGCTAAACTCGAACAAAAATTAATGACTGAATATTTCATGCCATTTTGCATAATATGGAGTAATAAATTACTTGAAGAGATTGGAAACACATTTGCAGAAGCAAGATGCTGCTAAAAAAAGGTTTCGTTTAAAAATTAGAACAAGAGATTTGCATTAATATTAGTTTTGTAATCGTCTGTAGCTACATATATAACAAATATTACGTATAAGATCATTATTAATAACAAATATCATCGATATATATATATATATATATATATATATATATATATATATATATATATTTTTAATATCAAAATATTCAATTATCTAAAACACAAGCAGATCCAAGGCACGCTTTTAATGCTAAACTTGTTATTAATTGAGCCGTCAAGTTGCAAAACCCGCTTTTTAAAAATCCATTTAAAAAAAATGGTCTATAATGACATATATTAATAGTGGACCCGGAAATCTACATAAACATAGTCCCAAAACTGCAGCAAAAGTCGCCTATTCCTATATAAAATTCACTACAATTCACTACAAATTAAGTTACTTAAAACAGCAAAATCCTTAAAAACTTATATTTGCTTTTTATTGTCACAAATCCCGCATTTTTTCATAGGCTTGATCAACTGACGAATTATCCATTTCAAATCGTTATCTAATTTTAATAAAATAGCATATCTGAAAAATAAAGTTACTGTAGCAAAACCCGCAATATGCATCATACTGCAACAAAACCCTCATTACCCGAATTATTTTTGTGTTTTTTTCTCTGGAAAAATTAAATATTAATTTTAATTTATAAAAAAAGATACAAATCAGTGATTCTACTCAATGGACACGTTTTTTGTAAAATAACGTTTCAAACATAGTTTTTGCGTATTATCTCGAAAATCCAAATAATTTACCTACAAATTGCTTAAAAAATCATTAAAATCAGATAAAATGTATTGAACTTTAAAATATGTAGATGAAAATTTTAAGATGTCTGATTTGTAACAATTCTTGTATTAAAAACGTAATTTTGATATCAATTTCAAGAAAATCGTCAAATTAACAAAGCCTCGACATATACATTGTACTCCAGTGTATATGTGAGCAACTATAGCCCCCATATAAATGAATGAATCTGGTCAAACCCTTTCTCTTTCATAGAGAAGCTATATAAATACTTAAAAGAACCCAAAACAATTTAGTTTGGTTTTCATTACAAGTTAAATTTATTCTAGCGTGATGTTGATATCCGTAATTTTAGGTAATTTTATTTTTTTAATATATGTGTGACGCGTGAGTGGGGGTGGCTGTGATTACTAAAGTGAGGAAAAAAAGCGCAGAAGTTAATTTTATTTAGAAAAAAAGCAGATATAAGAATCTAAAAATTAAATTAACGATAATTAACGCATTTTTTAACTCTGTGTGTTAATTTGTTGTTTCCGCTAGTGGAGAAACTTAATACTGTTTTGAAATGCACTTGAGTTCTACATAATTACTTTTTTTATACTTGTATTTACTATGTTGTTTTATTCCACTACAGCGAGTTTAAAATTTTCCATTTTTTTTTCAAACAAAAATTCTATTTAGCCAATCTCCTAATTCTGGTGGAGCAATGTCAGTCCCAAGTACTTCGCAATGACAGGCAGTATTCCATACAGTACGAACTGCAAACTTACACACAAGAGAGCGAATTCCTTCAAGCATCAAGGTAAGTGAAGGGTGATATATTCCCTTACACAAGGACTCACCAAAAATAAAAATAACGATTATTTTTTGTTTTGCAACGAACGCTGCAACTTACGACATTCGACCTTTATCTCGAATAAAAATTAGAAAAAAACGTTTTGCAAAGCAATTAAATTGAAAATATTCTGTTAATGACTTACAAAGATCTTAATTGGCTTTATATAGAGATAATTTTTCTTTCGACAGACCTAAAGCCAACCAATATCAGTATCAATACGAGCTTGCACAGAATTATCAACCCGAAGCGATATACCAACAGAGCTATGCCCCAAGTTCAGTAACCAGTACGAGAGTCAGCAGACCTAAACAAGAGAAAAACCAGCCAGTGGTGGAACAATATTTAAAGGAAGTGACTCCGACGACGAAGACTGTATACGAGCCAATACCATATCAATACAGTAACCAGGTGCCCATCTTAAAGCAGGCTCAGTATGTTTTGGAGCAGGAACCTCAGCAGTAAGTAAAAATGTTAAAATTACCGTTAGATCCGACAAATGCAATCCTTTAATATTCACAACGAACACGCATAAGAACTATTGGCAATGAAATTACTGTTCACTGTATGCTTGAATGTCAAACAATTGCTGACATTAAAAGGTTATTCAAATGGGAAGCGTTCTCAGAAGATTTCACTTTCTAAGCAAAACAGTGCGATTAGCGTAAACGAAGATGTAATGCATAATGCCACCGAACGGAGTGTTGTTAATTTCTTACTGGCTGTACACATATAAGGATTCCTCTGGTTTTCTTATAAAAGAGAGTCACGTATAATTTAATAAAAGAAATTGAAATAATTTTCTCCGAACTAAATATTTAATTATGAACTAGCGCGGTTTTTATTTCCAAATATCTTCACTCGTTATACTTTCCTATGTTGCGTATATGCAATTTTGTTGCATAATTCTTTTTTCTCTCGTCCAACTGGTACCTAGCTCTGCAGATTTATTGTGAGAACCAAAATACAGAAAGTAGACAGAACAAGATTTGAATAAATTTCGAAGTACGAATTTCATATCGCGTCTTAAAAATGTTGTTTTATTGTTAAGGTTGGCGGGTATTCTTAATTTTCTTAATTCGGAATGACTATTCATTATACATTAATAAGAAATCAGAGTATTCGTGCGTCGGTGTACCTATATCTAGCTCCGTTCACTTTTACTTTCATGCACACTTTTATTTCTTGTTATTAGTGCAATACCGGCACTATTCTGCTTTCGATAAAAGAAATTGTTCAATTAAATTTAATTACTCGCTTGTTATATTTAGGCGGCCTTACGTTCCCCAATCAAAATATGAAATTCCCGAAGCGGCCACGGCATCACCAGTAGCTCAAAACACTCTTGCCTATCATAACGTCCTTTTGGCCCACCAAAACGCAATTTACGACAAACAAAGAACACCTAACCAACCACAGAAACCGTCCCAAGGTCCACCACCCAAGTCTGCCATATTCATTACACAAAGTATCCCAAAAAAACCGAAAGTAGTAAAAATAGTCAAACCAAAAACATCCACTCTAGACGAAGAAATTGATTACCTCACTAAACTTCAATACAGACAACAACAGTTGCAACAACAAAGCAAAGATAACGAAGCTAATCAATTTAAATATCAATCTAGAATACCTCAATACGCAAAACCAGAATTATTGACTGCCGAAGAAGAACAAGCTCAGATTCATCAACCTCGTATAGCCTCACCTTTACTCCTCGGTAAGTTTAAAATCGCAAAAATTGTTATTCATACAATTTTAACTTTCAATCTTACAGCTAAACCTATAAAAGTGCAAAGACTTCCAAGCTATCAACCACAGTATCAGCAAAGCATCACCTATCAACCTGAAATAGCGTATCAACACCAACCCCAGCAATATGAACAGCCTCAGCTGATTCAGTACCAACCCCAGCCTCGGGAACAACTGCGTGAAAACCTATAAAGCGGGACCCAGGTATTTGCCTGATCAAAAACAAGTCAGATATCAGGAAGTTGCCATTGAAAAATATCAGCAAAGTGAAATACCTAGTGAAGCTATTCAAAAATATCAGATTCCTGTAAATCCTAAAATTGCCAGGCCCCAGCAAATACAATACACTTTAGAAGATCAATCACAGCAAAGGTAGATAGAAGGCCATAAACAAATAATTGAAGATCTATTTTATTTTTCTTTTACTAGGGAACAACCCCAACAATATAAGCAAGTTCAACAGCAGACAGAATCATCTTCAAAACCTCCACCTTATCAAGGGCCGGAAGTTAAACAAAAATTAGGTAGAAATTCGAATTTGCGTATTCTTAAAACAGGTAAACCTGTGGTTTTTATCGGCCATGAAGAATAATAAAAAGGTTTTGTAGAGATATTTATTGCAATGCATAATTTAACGAGTTTTTAAGTTGTATGAAAATCTTGTTTCCTTTTACATAGAAATAATTTATATTCATTAGAAGTAATGTTTATTGTATATATTATATTATTTTAAATAAAATCATTTTTATAATAAAATCCCCCATTATTCTTCCTGAAGCGCCATCTATGTATATTTGGTTGTAATTCTATTTATTTAGAATAAACATTATATTAGGAATCTGTAAATATTGCTAGAAAACTTTATATTTTAAACAGTACACAAATTTAAAAGAATTTAAAATGATGGAGTCACAAGAGTCCTTTAGGTTTGAGGTTACTTACAAAATAAATAAGAATTGTTAGTGAATTTATAAACTAAAATGGTAATTATTAAATCAATGTTTAGAATCGAAATAAAATTAGATTTTGTAGAAATTTCGTTTCAATGGCGATGCTGACTGTCCAGACTGGATTCTAGCAGAAATTTATACACTATCTCGCTTGTCTTCAATTAAATTAAAACTTCTAGGCCAAATAGTAGTGCAGGGCATTATAAATCCACCCTTACAGGTAAAAAGTGTTCTTGTAGGTGCAATATCATATCAATAATTCATATATTTTAGATTGAGAAAGTTGAAAAACTTTTTGCTGATTCCAAATTAGGTATGGCTGTTGTTTTATACAACTCAAAAATCAAACGTATTTAGAGATATCTTTTAGATACGGATATCAACTTAAAAGCTTGCATAGCTTGTTTAACTTACATTATATCTGCCGCAACACGGTTTAATTGTGAAAGCAGTGCCCTCCAATCTGAACTACAGCAGCTAGGATTGCCAAGAGAACATAGTATATCAATCAAAAGAGTTTACGATGAACAAAGTGGTAATTTAACAGATTATTTTAAGTCCAGGTCACTGAAAAGTATGAATTATATTGAGTAAAAAACTCTGTATTATTTTAACTTATTATATTGTTCTAGTAAATAATCTAGAGGATGTCTCTGGGAATTTCATTAAAGAGACTGGATGTGGTTTACTAAATCTGTCTATAAATGAGAAAACAGAATCACTAAAACTAGCTCCAAATACTATTAAGAGTCTGCTGGGAGACTTAGTAGCAGTGAGGAATAGAATGAAAGATTTAAAGGAAGCATTGTGAATCATATAAAATGTATACATATAAATTTTTTTTATTAAATATAACCTGTAACTTATAATTAATTTTGTATAAGTTTAGGGGCAATATATACAGTCCAATATCGAGCTTAAGTCTCTATAAAACTTAAGAATAAACATTTTTAAGTTATTGCACAAACATACTTATAAAAATTAGTAATTCCCTTATTGATTCCGTATTGGTAATCTGGCGAATGCGCTGGGAAATTATTAAAGAGCTTTCTCCGAAGCCCATTTTGAATGTTTTAATAGTCTGCCGAATGCGCCAGGATACTAAGAAACGCAATATGTGTTTATGTATCTAGCTTGTAAATTGTAATAAAATTATTTTATGCAAAAATATTAAACTTTTACTATAAGATGCTATAATATATCCACTTATTACTTTTTGTAAATTTACTTTATTTTTTTAGTGTAACTGAATAATCCCCAAATACACCATGTAAATATAATAAATTTTGTATTGGTGAAACATCCAAACCCTTAAATGTTCGAATTAAAGAAAATTGATTATTTAAGAAAGGGAGATTTCACAACACAAAAATGATTATGAAAGAAGCGATAAAACGAAAAATAAAAGAGGCTTTTTTAATACAGTCTAATAAAAATAAATGTATTGCTCAGGCATCTGTAGGGGTGAGTAATGTATGGTTATCGCTTTTTTGATTTTAATAAACATAACATAAATAAACATAAGACAACATAACAGTAATTGTCATCAGGCAGTAATTGTTAATTTTGAGTTTAACTTGCAATAATGTTATTTTAACAGAACGTCAACCGTTTTTATATAGGTACGTAAAGTGTTCTTGAAGAATATATTTTAAATAGTTTCTTTCTTTGTGTCTAATTGCTTGCGACTACGGGGTTAAGCATTTTTTTGTCCGTTGGGCAAATTTGTTTATTAGTAAATCACTGCTGATAAGCTGGTCTTCGTACGATTAATGGAGCAGTGTTTAGAAAAAAATAACTATTTAATTTTGTAGATTTTCTTCCAGTGCAAGTGGCGAAATACCCATAGGACTTTTTTGAAGAAATGATACCCTCAGTTTTCTAGAGGGAATTGAGTTAAACAAAACTATCCTGTTTTCCTTGATACGATCTGATTGAGCAGGTAAGACTGACAGGTAAAACGTTATGTGTAGACGTAGCTTTAGAAAGTCAAAAACAAAAAAGTGAGAGCAATATCAAGTAATATTCTACTAATATAATAATGGTTTCATTGTGTGGGGCTTTACATACGAATTAAATTTATCAGAATAAACAAGCTCTCAATTTTAAACGAAATTTGATTAGAAAGATCTTGCTGTGGGGGATTTAGCAGGCGATGGGCCACTATCTGGATGCAAAAGTAATTTAATATGTACCCCTGACCGCGAGTCAAACCGAACATAATCTGCCACTATAAATTCCCGATCGTAATTTTAAAATCACACAAACCGATAGCGGATCGCGTTTTCTCTATTATGCATAGGCGGAACTTGGCGGAGGGCATGTGAAGGGATTTGCCGCCAACGACAGAACGGTGTTATGTGTCTGCAAGACGCGTGCCGGTCGCGTGGCCGATAAAACCCAAATCGGCCTGTAATGCGATTGTAATGACCCGTACAAGCGACGCACATGTGTTGACACGTACGCTTCAATCGCAACGAATCTGCACCGATAATAATGCCCTTTTGATGACGCCGCATCTACTTTACTTCTTTTTACTTACAGCACAACAACCAATCGATATGGCGAATACGATCGAACGGAAAATGTGAATACCCAACGCCTTAAGTAATTATTGTCAAATCATTAGCATCAATAGGACATTCTTGGTATTAACTAATTAATCAATTTTAATTATATTAATTAAAAAAAACGATCTAGCTAGAACTAGAGATTAGCAAAATTGTGATTCCAATCCTGAAGAACCTGTGATTGTGATTTTAATATTTACCAAATCAAATTATTCGTAAAAAAATCCTATTGAGCCTTCGTTTCATTTGAAAAAATCGAGATATGATTAAAAATACGATTTGGGCATATTTTAACAGGCCAGGACAAGACGCGAAAAACAACAGACAAACAATAGAGATCCTATATTTCCAAGACATTTCCTAGATTGAAATTTAAAATACGATTTTTTTAAATGTCAAATGTCAAAAGTTGCCATATGGCCTGCCATTCTATTCAGAGTGTCATTTTTATCGAATAAAGTAAAAAAATACCGAGGGTGTCATTTAAAAATCAAAAGTTGTAGTCATTTCAGGCGAAACAGGAAGTGACTGAAAACAATTGAAAACGTCAATCAATCCTAATTTATGTCATATACTGACATACCAAATCTCGTTTTTTTTTATCAGAAAAAAAAAAAGTTATAGAGATGAACCACTCTTGAGAAGCACCCGGTATATTATTGATCGTGGACCTAGAAAATAATACCTTCTCTATAAATAAATAATATCAGAGAGAAAATATAAATATCGTAAATCGCAACTCCTAAAAATTCAAACTCGCAGAAAATCACGGTCCCAATTTACAAAATCACAATCGCCTCAAAATTGCAAATCGCAACAAAATCGCAAGTCGCAACTACAGTAATATGGTTGCCTAAATTGAAACTCGCAAGTAGAATAAATCGCAATCGCAGTTTCCTATGAGAGCCAACCACAGGTTGCGATTGCGATTTTAAAATCGCTGCGATTGAAACGCAGTTTGCGATTTCTTGCCCATCTCTATATTGAATACTTATTTTCCTCTAAACAACATTATTATTTAGGAGACTTACAAATGCTACCGTATGATCGAATAAAAACGGCGTCAGCGATGGCTATGAAATGAAGATCGCTGTCATTTTATATGTAAAATTATATGGGAAAAGTCATCTATCGTCATTTCCAAGCCCACTGGACGCCGTTTTTTTTTTCGATTATACGGTATAATTGATAAAACCGCAACTCCTCATACGAATAAAAACCATTTAAAGAATAAGCTAGCTGACAACAGCCAAAAAATGTAAATTAAAGAGATCTGCTTTAATAAAAACGATGACATATTTAAAAAGGTAGCTAGTAAAAAACAAATTGTTAATTTCCACTCAGGCATGGGAGATTATCGTTGACCATTGAAATATAAAAAGTCTCCAATTATCCGGGATTTCCGGAAAGGGAATCGCTATCCTTAATGACAGGGAAAAAATGCGCCAGCTCATCGGATTACATCATTCAGATGAGATTCAAACGGGGGATGGATTACTTTTATACCGGCTAAAATTGCGAACGGAAACTGGAATCCGAATCGATCCGAAATTTGTCATTTGAGGAGGAGGAGGGGGGGGGGGATGGGAAGGAAAGAAAAGAGGCTGCTTTTAAGTGGCCTCTTTGAAATTCAGATTTCCTCCAAATCATTTCATACACTAGCGTCACTTGGATGTATTTCGGCGCGTTCAATCTATTCCTTTATCCGGAAATTATGTTTGCCAACCAAATAAATCTACCCTGAACAAGGAAAATGGAAAATCTATTTCGATATAAAATACGTTCATGCAAAAAAACGCAAGTGAAAAAATTTTCGTCAAGTTTAAAGTATTATATTTTTTATTTTTAGTCCTATTTTTATGAACTTTTTAGCAAACTGTATATAAATATATCTACTGTAATTGGTAAACCCAGTTTTTTTAAAACCTTTTGTATTTGGCTTATTATACAGGGTTAATAGAAAGTTTTTTTTTACCTAAACTTTAAAACACCCTGGGCAATAATTTCGTGAGTAAATTTTTCTAAAACATTATTTTTCGATCAGAACCATGACTCCTGAGCATTTTACTTCTTGGCTCATATCAATACATGTCTTGGTTAATTTTTGAGAAGAAATGAATAAGTTGCTTCAACTACCTATCATTGTTTTTGATTTTTTTCTAATATGACGAGGTGGCTTTAGTGAATATTATCGTTATATTAAAAATTAAAATTAAAAAGTGGTGATAGTTGAAAAAATTGCAAATTGCCGGTGGTAAGTTCATTTCCTTCTTAAAAATGAACCAAGACATGTATTGATATGAGCCAAGAAGTAAAATGCTCAGGAAGCATGGTTCTGATCGCAAATTAATGTTTTAGAAAAATTTACTCAAGAAATCATTGCACAGGGTGTTTTAAAGTTATTGTAGAAAAACAACCCTTCGACTAACCCTGTATAATAAACCAAATAGAAAAGTTTTTAAAAACAGTGAGTTCACCAATTAAATTAGATATATTTATATACAGGTTGCTAAAAAAAATTATGAACATAAGGCCAAAAATAAAAAAATTGTGGCTCAAAATTTTTTTTGCATCAGAATGTACATACAATCGAAAAAAAAATATTCATTTATCCTTATATCAATACTCTTAGACAACGAAATCTACAATGAGAAATAATTGCGCTGGGAGATTAATAAGATTTAATAATAAGCGAGAACTGGAAATTTATTCTACATATTGACTGGACGCAAGTGTTCTTGACTCAATCATTAATAAAAGGAGCATTAATCCCTATTATCCTAACTAATAATAAATCAGATATAGTTATGCTAAATACCGGGGTTGGGGTTTCGCCAGCGCCCCTAAAGAATCATCCTTTGTGGGAGACCAGCTGACGCTTAATATAGCCTTTTGAAAAAAATCGCACTGCTTTAATCCTATAAGAGAGGCTATATGTATAGCTAGACGGAACCAGCTATACCATACCATGGAGACAACTATTTTTTTTATTTTTTTTTACTATTTTTTTTTATTTTGGAAGAATAACTAAAAAAAGTTATGTTATTTTGGTAAAAGTTTCAAACACCCCGTGGAAGGGTTTAACAAAGTAATGAATTTAAAAACCACTTTCCCTTCAAGCTGTATCTTTTCTCGATAGTTTGTTTTTTGATACATCTCAATAGATCTTTATTTGTTGGAGATATCTCTCTAAAAAAAGTTATTATGATGAATCAAAAAACACAGTTTCCAGAAAAGACGCACCTTGAGAATGAAGTGGTTTCTAAATTCCTTACTGTGGTAAACCATTTCAAAGGAAATTTCAAACTTTCACCAAGATACACCATTTTGTATTCCCACGTTTAAT